AAGCGTACATGACAAAACAAGAAACTTAACAGAAATCTTCGTTCATATCTTAACTAAACATTTCAAGTACGTAGCAACGCTGCGGCACTCAGAATGTTTTCATAAATAGATCGATAAACGTCAAACTTCAGGCAGTCAAGCGTTCGAATTCAGGACATTTGTCTGATAATTTGTCTGGAAGAAAGAATGAAACCTACAAACATGAAAAAAATATCACGATATTTTCAACTGATCGCAATCTCTTTTATGGTATGGATAACGTTTTAAATGTGGGGTCTCCTTCGTTGTCAATTAGTACCGATTACGGAACTTAGCACACAATTTAACTGACTTGCGCGGTGAGTTCACAAGCTATTTTTGACGTACCATCGAAAACCATCGCATTATTGGTAAGATTAATTTTGCTCTGCAGCAATGACTCAGTCTTGACATTTGAGGGAAGATAAACGGAAATATCGTTTCTCTTTTCGCAATGGCCGTGTTACTGTAAAATAATTCAATTGCTTCTGAAGAAAGAAAAACAGATTTTTAAGTGTTTATTCCAAATAGGAATCATTGCGTGATTGGAGTTTTCAAATCCATCTTCTCACTGACACATTTTGCCTAGGGGTTAAATGAATAACAGACAAGAAAGCGGATTAACTGTGATTTTTATACCTCAATAATCACATGACGCATAACTTGCAGACCTCATGCTGAAAGGTTTCAGATTAATAAAATTGTTTACTCACTTACTCATTCCACTTCAAGTATAAAAGGATAGAGGCTCTTCTGGACCTTTTCCAGCGACGTCAAATCTCAAGGAGAATAAAGAGAGAAAAAAAGTTTCCCGAGCTTTGAGAAGCAAGATCAATTTTTTTGGAGGGGGAGCGGCGGCTTGGGGCCATCTTCAGAACCAAGAAGTTTTTTAGGAGTTTTTCGAAATCCACACTGGTTCGCCATTTTTTTTTCTTTAAAGCTGGAAATACTTTCATTTGTGTCGGTGTGTTGTTACGGTACGTACGCCAGCAAAATCGTGCAAGGTGCTGAAATTATCCAATCAGTGTGAATAAGTTGATTTTTAATCCAATCAGTTGCAATGATGAAAATAGAAAGAAACAAACGTGCACGATTCAACTTCTGAGCGTGTTCCAGCATTCTTGATTTACCAGCGAGTCAATCATGACAGAGGAACCAATGAACGCTCTATGATATTTGATCGGCCGTGTGGAAAATTTGGGAAGAAGCGCTGTATTTACAAGTTATGCCGTTACCATGATGACGCGAGACAGGTAGCTATAAATAACATTATAATAATTATTATTCTTATTAATAAAAATAGCCTATCACATTTTTTTATTTTATAAACATAATTATCAATCATCCTGCATTATTATCATTATCATCCTTATCATTATAACTATTTTTGTTATTATTAGTATCATCATTATCATTCCTATTATTATTAACATGTCTTCCTCTTCAGCCTCTATGGTATTTTTGTGCAATTTCTCGGCTCCGTTCCTTAGCCTGAAGTCAAACCTTTATCCCCTGCACCTAAGCTCTTTCAAGCAGTGATGAAACTATTTATTAAGAAAACTGGATAAGAAACAAACCTCATGATGATTCCTTGATGGAAGGGAATTAGGCGATCAAAATACCACACACCTGGATGAGAGAAGGTCATGCAGATACAATTTTTTTTTCTGCACTAACTCGCTTTCATCATTAAATCGTAGAACTCTGAAACCAAAGTTCCCAAAACAGGTAATGAAGATCGAGGGAACGAACTGAGCGGACCGCGGTACATGTAAATTATTTGTGTTTTAACTGATACAGATTTGTGAAAGCAGACAATTACTGAGCTTGAATTAAAAAAAGGGAAAAAAACGCAAACGCAATTTTCGCTATTTGATTTTCATAAATCAATATTCCGTTGATATGTTAACAACAATGATTACTTTTTTCAAATCACCACCATTTAATTTAATAAGCTGCAGTTTTTGACTGTAAACGTTTCCTCTGTTTTTTTTGTAGCTGTTGTACTGGTCTGTGAAATAAAAGTTAGTAATGACAGGAAGCAAAAGGGCTTGACGAAATTAGAATCAGGCTTTCTCTTGGCCTGTAGGACCTGGATTAAACGTGATTTAGTAAATACCGATAAACCGCATTTGTAAACATCAATCCTAACCGACGGAAATCCTATTTTCTGATTCTTTTAGTTGTTAAAATTTCTCTGCTTGTGAGAAATACGATTATTGGACTACCCATTGTCTAATAATTAGTAAAGATGCGCCGGCCCTTGCTGTTTTTGTCTCAACGACTTCAACACTTAAGTTAACTCGATACGAAACGAGAAAAAAGAATCGCCAATTGACGTAAAAACATAGGAGTCACTTTTTAATCTTCTTGTGGTTCACCGAGGAAAAAAAGGAGATTGTGCCGAGATGAAAAATTAAACCTCAAACTTGATAAATATCCCACAAGACGAAGAAGTGCTAAAATAAACGGAAATATACTGGGTTTGCTGATCCGATATTTAGTAATTATCGCCTTTGTGGGTGTTTGAGCCGGGTAACCGGGTTTTCCTGCCATTAATCAAACGAAAAAAAAAATCACTCTCAGTGGCTTCCTGGATATTAATTGAGAAATGTGACCATAAACAATAGTTTAGTTATCATTCTAACCTCATCGACATTTCTAGGACCACATTTCGTTCCCATGCTTTCGACTTAGTTAATTGTCCTACAAATTGCACCACGGTGAGTAAACCAACACTGACTTAAGTTCAAATGAAGATCTTCCATAAAACCAGATAATAATAACCACAAATTTAATATCTTTATTTAATCCGTGTATCTATTTTTGCACCATTTAAAGTCTATTCCATTGGAAAGTGACGATGAAAAAACCTTTTTACACTGTCTTGCTGACACATTCATAACATTACTAAAATGTCTGAAGACATTGAAAGAAATTTCCTTCCGATAACCCCCTTTCCATGAATCATCTCACTGATAAAACGTTGCTTCGTTGGTACGTTGCTTCATTTTGTATATTTTGTTCCTATTTTTAACCTTCTTCTTTACAACTTTTTTTAATAAGGGTTTTTGCTATTACTGCCAAGTGTGTACAGGTAATTTCCTCTTTCTGAAGCACCTACTATAGTTTGAATTGTAAATGTTTCCTTCGATTCCTATATTAGTCAACTTGGTATCATTCTTGCAACGTATAAATAATTTTGCAAACACAGTTTCGGCAAAAAAACCGGCCATTCCGCATATAAAATGGTTTCCAATTCCCTTAAGATTGGGTTCTCCTCTGCGTGAGAAGTAACATGCACACTTTCTAAACAACGCCGCTTAAGTATGACGCCTTCCTTCCTCGACCGATCTTCTCATATCGTTGGAAGCTTGGCGTATCATCCTGTCCGCCGGCGAGGGGTTTGTCCTTCACCTTTAGCTGTTGTTCGCGTTCAGGCAGGCAATCTGATGGAAAAAACTATAAATAATAATAATATTAACTAAATCAGTCTTACCACAAACCGAATTTAAGTGAAATTTACCAACAGATTCCAGTATCATATTACCGATTAGTTACACACACTTTCCCTTAGCTATACGGTGTACAAATACTTCAGGTTTTCGAGATAAATCTCGCTCGAAGAAGAAATCATAACATAAAACAGCCAAGTGCCTTCATGTCAGGCCATATGGTCCTAATTATCTTTTATTAAAATTTTAAATTAACATATGTTCTCTTCTGTTGACGTGAAGCAAATAGTTCAGTACTATTACACAATACATCTAATATCGTCGTCGCCGAAGGTATATAGTCAAGTTGTCAAACATTTGTTTTGAATTTAATTATTTTTTAATGACTCCTGTTTCGTGAGCTGAATGAAAATGGTTTTTCGTCTCAGGAGTCCTGCTAAGTGTTGGCTTACAAGGATGTGGTGGGTGTTTTTTTCCTTTGATTCAGCTTTTTCTTGTGTTTTTTGCATGTATTATCACAGAGTGAACACTTTCTTCACTGACACGTCTACACGAAAAAGTCACTTTGAGTCGATCGCCGCCTCTCGTTCATGGTTCCTAGGTCATATTTTCTAAAACAATAAGCTTAGGGGGAGACCTTCTTAAGGATGATCGGCCTCTATAAAGCGGACACCGAAAGGGGATCGTAAGAGGAGACTTAACTTAACTAATGTTGTGTGGCAATATCCTTTAAATCTCTTTGATCCAAACCAAGCGCAATATCAACCCCCTCGACGTCTATTTTTATGTTTTTACAGTTGCATCCCAAACAAACAATTAAAGAAGTTGTCATGGGAAGTCAATTTCTTTATTATTATTTGCGGAAAGCCCCTTAGTGATGTCATGATCTCTTTTTTCGCACGATTAATCTGAAACATATGATCGCTGAAGAATAAAATGCCATAAGTAGACATGGTTTGATGCTACTCTGGTTTACAGATTTAATGAATGTAACCGAAGAAGTTACAATTCATAGATCCAACGTTTCGACACTCCTGTCTGGTGCCTTCATCAGGGGTGATCTAAACGCTGCAACAAGAGGTCCGTTGATATGATCACTAATTGTTGCAGCGTTTAGATCACCCCTGATGAAGGCACTAAACAGGAGTGTCGAAATGTTGGGTCTATGAACTGTAACTTCTTCGGTTACATTCATTAAATCTGTAAACCAGAGTAGCATCAAACCATGTCTGATTGTTCACCTGGTTGCCGTGTGAACTTTAATATGTCATAGGTAGTTAAATTTTTATTTTATCTTTGTTCCAAGAGAGGAAACTATGTAGATGCACAAGTTAACTTACCGTTACATTGCATGAGAGAAAAGACTGGCTCCAAAACTAACATACCACGATACGGGATGAACTGACAAAAACAGCATGAAAAGTTGTAGTTACAAGCTGCAATAAATAAAAGGTAGTCCCAGGAAGTTGTGTGAGAATACCGATTTAAATTTCTATTGCCGGAAGGTTTTCTTGTCCGTGTTTGGTTTGTCTCTAATAAGACTGGTGCCGAAGAAAGAAGTCATCATGGCGGCCGTGTTCGTTCCCTTGCGGCGCGGAATAAGAGAACTTTCTGGGAAAACATCGTCCGTAAGGTTTCCTTTTCACAGGTAGTACGTATAGATTTTTCATTTTCAGACAAGAGAAATTTTAAGGCGTTAGGAACGACTCATTGCACGTGTACTGGTTTTATTTACATGTGTTAGATCAAGATCAAGACAGTTTCACCCACGAGAGAGAACTCCCGGCCAGAATGGAAGAACATCCGGAAAAAATGAAAATCAGCCCGAAATTTCAGACGACGTCAGTAAATTACGGATGATTGTGCGTCCTTTGGGGTTCACAGTGCTAGTATGTGATCCAAACATCAACCTCTTAAAAATTAGAATATGTCTTGAAGTTTTAAAGATGATCAATATCACCATTGAGAAGGAGGCTGGTGGTAAATTAATTAGTGCAAAGAACCATTTAGGATTAGTATGACTGCAAACAATGACCAGGCCCAATTTGATATTTCACAGGCTCCCTCCTTCCCTTGATGGAAGGTAAAAGGTAAAAAGTGGGAGGGGGTTGGGGAAGGGAGGCAGGTGGCTGAGTATCTTTCTTTACTTTGCTTGAAATGCTGTCTTCCTCTGTAGGACTTCATAGCTCATTTTGTACAGTATCAAAATAGTGAAGTATAGTAGCAGTTCTAAATTCAAGACCTGTAGAAGAATTCCATTGTCTTCATGTTCTGCTTCCAATTTTCAAAGGTTATCTTCTACTTTGGAGTTATTTACCACTTACATAGTTTTTCTCTTCATAACTCTAGACAGGAGTAGTGAGCTTTGGAACATGTTCAATTATAAACTATGAACGAGTCAGAAATTTGTATGTGCAAGGGAAAAGGACAAACAAGCCTTCTCCTCATTCTTCCAAGTCATTTGACTTCCGCAATATGGTTTGTGTTCAATTTTTCATTTAATTGATCTGGTAGTGATATGGTGGCTGTTTCTTTAACCCTTCAATCCTAAGAGTGACTAGCATCTAATTTCTCCTTACCATATCACCCCTGAATCACACATTAAGGTCATGAGAATAAAGGAAATGATCACCAACTAAAGAAGCTATTGATTGTTAAACAAATTCTCCTTATCAACACCTTAAGAATTGTACGGAGAACAGTACTGAGATTATGCATACTGATGTTAGGGGTTAAAAGGTTATCTCCTGTTGACTTGTTGTTTTTTGTTTAGTTAAATAAATGGTGGAACTCTTTGCACGGAGGCTCAAAGACAGCAGCTGTGATTATCTTCATAAACACAGCAGTGTTTTTGTTATGGTATCAACCTAGATTACATTTGTTCATGTACAAGTGGTTTACAACATCTCCATTCTCAGGTCAGTCATCAATCATTTGAAGATTTTTTCACATTCCATATTGCTGTACGTACAGATCGCAGATAAATGTTAAAGCATGGTAAGAAAGAAAAAGTGGCACAGGATGCCCAGCTGAGTGTGTCATTAGAGGCCCAGCTGAGTGTGTCACTAGAGGCCCAGCTGAGTGTGTCACTAGAGGCCCAGCTGAGTGTGTCACTAGAGGCCCAGCTGAGTGTGTCACTAGAGGCCCAGCTGAGTGTGTCACTAGAGGCCCAGCTGAATGTGTCATTAGAGGCCCAGCTGAGTGTGTCACCAATGCTCTTACCACATTTGGATGCTTTTTTGTTCAATCTATAACTGAACAGACCCACAGCAATATGGTATCCATTTGTTTTTCCTTCAAAAACCAAAGTGTTGTTGATAGTGACTTCATCTGTGCATCTCTCCTCTAAAAGAGAAAGATGTTGTTGGTGGTAACATCCAAAACCAATCAAAGTGCATACATAATGCATCTTATCATATAACATGATTTAACAATTCTTCTGGTGATGAAGTTCATAATGTTATCTCCAGGCTCAAGTCTGACAATGCTGACATCTATCTTTAGTCATAAAGAAATCTGGCATTTATCTATCAACATGTTTGTGCTCTGGAATTTTGCACCTCATTTAGAAGGTAGATAATACAATAAACTGTGATATTTTTTCTTTGTTTTTTGTTTTGTTTTTCAGTGTTGGTATTTCATTTGAAGATACACAAATTTCAATACAATTTTCATTTTATATTTTGTATTTTGCCAAAATAACCATGATATTCTGGGATGATGCAATCCAAAACTTTTGATACACTTTTAAAAAGGTTGTATTTCTTTTACAGCTCTTCTTGGCAAAGAACAGTTTATTGCATTTTACATTACTGGAGGTAAGCATATTGAAAATATCTCAAATTCATACTGTGAGAAACAGTTCACAACTTCTCCAAAAGTAGTCAACTGATGAGTTATGGAAAGAGAATCTTGACCATGAATAGTTATTCTTTATGTGACATTTGCTCAAATGTATATTTTCCAGGTGTTTTTGCTTCATTCTTGAGTCAGGCATGCAGAATTGGTTTCACCAATGCATTTCGTGTAGGTGCTTCACTAGGAGCGGTAAGGATTCAAAGTTAAATTATCTTCACAGTCAGTTAGCCACTCGATCTGTCAGTCCATTAGTCAGTTGGTCAACCAGTCAGTCAGTCAGTCAGCCATTCAGTCAGTCAGTCAGCTAGTCAGTTGTTCAACCAGTCAGTCAGCCAGTCATTCGCTCAGTCAGTCAGCTGCTCATTTGTTCAGCCAGCTGCTCATTTGTTCAGCCAGCTGCTCATTTGTTCAGCCAGCCAGTCAGTAGTTCAGTCAGTCAATCAGTCAGTCAGTCAGTCAGTCAGCCTGCAAATCAGTTGGTTACGTAGCCAGTCAGTCATTTTCCTACATGTTCATACAGTTGGCCAGTCAGTAAGTCAGTTGGCCAGTCAGTAAATCATTGGTCAGTCAGTAAGTCAGTTTGCCAGTCAGTAAGTCAGTTGGCCAGTCAGTGAGTCAGTTGGCCAGTCAGTGAGTCAGTTGGCCAGTCAGTGAGTCAGTTGGCCAGTCAGTGAGTCAGTTGGTCAGTCAGTGAGTCAGTTGGTCAGCCAGTGAGTCAGTTGGTCAGTCAGTGAGTCAGTTGGCTAGTCAGTAAGTCAGTTAGTCATTCAGCAGTCATCTAGTCAAACAGACATACAGACGGTAAGGCTTAACTCCTTAAAATCCACATTTTAAAAACCAATTTTTGTTTTGTTTCCTAGTCAGGGGCATTGCTTGCGTGTTTATCGCTTGTGTGCATCAATGAACCAGATTTGCGCTTGTCTATTGTGTTTCTGCCGTTTTTTACATTCCCTGCTGGAGTGGTAAGTAATAAGAAAGAAATCCTGAGGATGATTATTTTTTTGACCCTGTTTCTGATAACTCACTAATCTATTTCGATACAGTCGACAACACGTGACTGCTCATGGCGTCATTGACCCCAGGAGCGTCATGTGAATATCATGTCACGGGTGTTTCGTTTTCTCTCGTCCCTAGGGCCTCCTAGCTGTAGCTGGCTTTGACTTGCTAGGATTGTTGATGCGTTGGAGAGTGTTTGATCATGCGGCACATCTCGGTGGTGTTTTATTTGGGGCGTAAGTAGTTAACGCAAATGATATGTGTCATTTTAATGCTGTTGCTGCGAACCTTACATTGTTAAAACGTTCCCAGCCATATTTGCACAGGAGGAAAACTACTTATTTTGGATTTGCAAGGAATTCTTGAAATTGCCAAGAGAAGTGGGTGTGTCCACTGCTACTCGATCAGTTTATTTTGTAATCCATCACTCTCTCACGTGAGCAAACTATTTGTAGTTGTTTTCTGCTACTTGTTCAACAGGAGCAAACTGTTTTCTTCTGGTATTCTCTCAACAGGCTATACCTAAAATACGGAAGTTATTATATTTGGCAGAAGCGTGGCTGGTTCGTTTCTGAGTGGCACAAGCTGCGAGAGGGAAGCAAAAGAACTTGAATCCTGTAACATCTGATCTTCTGATCAGATCTTCTGTCTTAAATAAGAAGAAACGGGTCTGACTACGCAGAAAGCCTCTTATATGCGCACATGTTGGAAACTTTACCGTCTTGTTTTAAACGAGAGCTTTTTTCAAGAAAGACATCGATTTTGGTTTCCCGTGCAAAAGCGGCTAGCGATAGATCCCAGGGAGGGATGCCAAGGCTTGATTGTTTGCTTGATGTTACCGCCAACAGGCTTGTCTGTTTGATCAAAGGGGGAAGTTTCTAAAGATACTGTTATGCTGCGTCGGTGTGAGAGTGTAACAGGGTAATTTAGTATTGCCAACTGAGTTGATAACGTAAATTGGCCACCGTTAAGAGTTTCGAAGCTGACGTTTCTAGCGTTAGCCCTTCGTCAAAGCGAATAAGGGCTCCCTAAAACCCCTCCCCTCCCCCCATTCACTCTGACGAAGGGATAACGCTCGAAACGTCAGCTTGTAGACTCTTTACAGTGGCCAATTTACATTATCAACTCAGTTGACAAGACTGAATTACCTTGGTTGCTTGATTTACTTGAAAGATGACAAAGTCGTATTAAATTTGCGAGGAGAACTTATGGATGGTTTCTGATCCCGTATTGCATCTAAGGACCTCGTCGGTCACTTGCATAGAATATTGACTCCCTTCCTGTATTTGATAATTTTGAAAATATGTTATTTTCAGCGCTAAGATGATCTGTCTTGAAACATAAGCTTTCACTGTTATACCGAGTATGCGCAAACCACTAATCTAAAAGAGATATGGGACGGGCCAATCTCGTTCTCAGCGCCTCTCGGTTTTTCTTACGGTCTTTCGTGTCGCCGACCACGTGACCAAAGAAATGAGGACTCCTCAAATGAGAATGAGGTAAGGTGAGTTACAGCCGCCAGTGAGTTTTTTTTCTCCTTTACGTGAGGGAACACAAGACGCGATTGTCGCCTCGTCTCAATGTCCTGTCCTAGGCTCCAACCCCCTCTCATCAGCCCACGCTTTCCTTTGGATAACTCTTTATGTTTCATCATTTACTGGAAACGCAAATTTACGGAATCTAGCAGCTGTTTGTAAATGGCCAAGATCGTTTTCAAGGGAAAAAAACTGAAAAAGCATCGTTAATACATTCTGACAATATCAAACAAACAAACTTTTGAAGAAATGTAATTCGGTGTTATTAACTGAGTTGACGAGAGGAGAACGCTTGAAACTTTTAACAGTGGCCAATTTACGTTATCAACTCGGTCGATAATACAAAATTACCTTGTTATACTCTCCCACCGACGCAGCACCACGGCTTCTTTAGAAACTTGCCCCCTTTATTTGGAAGAAATGTACGAGTTTACTTTGACGAAGAAAACATGATGCGCTAAAGTATAAGTTCATTTCTTAAATTTAAGATCATTAAAATTATTGAAAAAAAATGACCAAAACTACCAATAGAAAAGCATTTTCTTGCTTCCGATGTGTGTGGTGTTTCATGGTTATCCCTTTTCATGACAATAGTAACAATAGCCGATTAGCTCTTGTTATAATTATTTTTCACTTCGTGGAGGATAAAGATTCGTTCATGCAAGAAGTTTTTTTAGTCGAGGAAGCCATTTCTGCCATCTGTCATATCTGAGAACAATATTTTCCATTCTTTGAATTTTTATTTTGAAAATGTGATCCAAAATGTTCTGCGGACGATGAGGAGAAAAGAAAAAGAGGCGCAGCTGGATTGGAGACCATGAATATAGAGACGAAAGCGGTATTCTTTAGGTGGCATCTCGTGGAAAAGGCCTTCGGAACTTTCCTCGCTCTAACAAGTCCTTATTTAACTAGCGGCGTTTTATTCGGATAAAGAAACTCTTCCGCTGTGAATCGGCGAAGGAAAGCATTTCGATCACGTTCTGGAACAAGTGTGGATGTTCAATTTTAACGCGATACTTGTTATAACCCATTGCTATTGATAAAAGGTATTTTTTGATCAAGGAAATACAGCCAAACGGAACACGTGAAACATCAATAACAATTTTTTTTCATTCCTCTTCCATTCTTCTTTAGAACAAAGATACGTCCGATTACTGACGTAGATTATTCTTCTAAAGGCATCTGTATAACGCTGAAAGAATCACAAGACTTGAGCAGATCGAAAAACAGGAATAGTTTCTCTGCATGGCTTTTTTCATGGCCTAATTTCCTCTCATCATCTATATCCATTCACAGACCTAAATTCCATCGTGCAGTAATAACTTAAATGTATTTTTGACCGTGCTGGTAAGATACTTATCGCATATCATGCCAGTCGATATCGGTTTCATCACGGGAATCGTTATAAGCGGAATTATAATAATCGGTGTGATTGGAAACGTTATGACCTTATTCGTGATAATCCGTTACAAACCGTTACGGAATGAAACTGGAATGTTTCTGGCAAATCTCGCTGTGGCAGATCTCTTGCAGTCGATCATTGGGATGCCTCTGATAGCTGCTTCAGCTTTTCACAAACTATGGCTGTTTGGTGAATCTCTTTGTGTAATAAGTGGGTTGACCAACTCGCTCTTCTGTGTGACATCTGTTTTGACGCTAACAGCAGTATCTGTTGATAGATGGCTATCAATTGTATACCCACTCCAGTACAGAAATTGGTTGACTGTCAGAAGAGCAAGGTTTACATTGGTTTACATCTGGATACATGCTCTATTTGTGGCGATTCTTCCTGTGTTTGGTTGGTCAAGGTTTGTGAAATCAGTTGATTTTTATCTTCTAGATCTGGTCTGCATTTTTCTGGGCCTTCAATCATTAACTACGGTGTAAGCATTGAGCAATCATTTTTTTAGTGACCAATATTCGCGCAAAATTAAATTTTCCCCTCAGTTTAGCTTTTCATTCATTCATTCATTCGAGAGTTCATCTTCCTTCTTCTGGGATGAATCAGCGATTTTCAAGCGCGCGTGCGTTTTCGACATATTGAACTGGGCCGAGAAATACCGAAACTCTTCCGTAACTTAACGCTCTACAGAGAAACACATTTGTATTTTCAGCTAACTTCGATTCATGTTGTTGCAGGTATGTTTATTTGCCTTATGAGTTCATCTGTACAGTCCAATGGGAAAGCGATAAGAGTTACACGATGTTTCTTAGCGCGACAAGTTTCGTGACACCCGTGATCGTCGTGGTGCTGTGTTACTCAAGTGTCTTGAAAACCGCTCGTCGTAAAGCGCGCGAGGAACCACGTGTCACGGTTGGCCGATTTAGTGGGTCGAATGTGAAGCCTGGTACGAGTAGCACGGAAGAAGCTTTCGATAAAAATTGCGATAATTCAGGAAAATATGTTCGCGGAAAAGAAAATCATGTATTCATTTCAAATTCAAAGAAGAGGTGGGAGAAAAGTGTCTTTGAGGAATGTCATATCGGGCCGGAAAAATCAGAATCGACCTCACTTAAAATGGAAGAACACCATGATGAGATTGAACGTGACTCTGAGCTGAGTTCGACATCTACGATTCGGAAAAAAGAAACAAAGAGAAAATCCTCATCTAGAGTCGTTCCCTCGAGTACAAGTGGAGTGGCTCAATTAAATACTGTCGTAGCAGCCAAAGGTTGCTCTAAAATGGCTGGAAAAGGCAAACACCCCAGGAACTTTAGTATCCCTTCCTCTCGTAGAACTGGGACGTCCCGTGTTAATAAAGTTGACGTCGCTGCACCGGTAATAAACCGCTGGACAGAGGATATCTCTCCAAGGAAGGAATCGACGGTTATTCCAGAAGAAACCGAGGGAAAGAGATACCCTCTTTCCCGAACAATAACAGCTACCGCCGGGCTGCCGGAACCCCTCGCTCGAATGCGCGGATGGATGAACGAGCGGAAAAAGGGAGACGGGCGACATAAGAGGCAAGTCTTGAACCAATTACTTCAACTTTTAAGTTGATCAGTGGACAAACCCTTGTTTCTGTTTGTTACCTTCCCTGTGCCCCTTGTTTGTTACCTCCCCTGTGCACCCTTCTTATCCCCTTCCATAAAACTCTCCTTTGTTATTTCTGAGGGTAAGGGTTCCAGTTGTGTTTTCCAACTGTGAAATAATTTCAAAAGTAGTACTGAAAAAGAATTAGTATTTCAACCTATAAGTAGAAAAAATGGTCAAATGGTACCCCCCTCTCATCCTGTGATTTTTGACTTACGGTCGCCCACTGTAAGGAATAAACATTTTATCTTTAATGTGTTCTTTAGGAAGGAGATGAAGATCACGTTTATCCTGCTTGTGGTAAATGGCACGTTCCTTCTCTGTTGGTTTCCTCATTTTATTGGAATGATGTGTTTAACCTTTACAAACGGCTTGTGCCCATTCCCCGACAGTTACCACATCATCACCACCACGCTGGCTATGTTGAACAGCGGTTGCAACCCATTTATATATACCCTGACTTACCGGAAATTCAGAAGTGGGTTTCAGGCAGTAATTCCATGTTTTCGCTCTCATAACGCTGCTGAATTAGAAAATTCTGTGGATTAACCTTTCTGTTAACCCGCGAAAAAAATGTTCTCCTTCTAATAATGCAAAAAATTTTTAGCAGCTCTTCTGAATGGATAGGGACAATAGGCGAAAGTCTTCGCAAACAACTGGTAGCATTACCTGCACGAAAAGCGTCACCAGTTCTCGCTCGTTCCTGCGACTTTCTGTGATCTCACCGTGGTAGATCTGGGAAGGACATTAGTAGTTGCTAGGACAACGTAACTGACAGTGATATTGAAATATCGTATAGAAGTCGTGTATTTTGAGACTGCAAACCTTTTTCGATCAATACGCCATGGAAAGCGAGCAGAACATTTTCCTCGGTTCACCATCGAGGTTATTCAGTCTTTGTTAAACCTCTCCCCATTGACTTCGATATAACAAATTGATCCGCGGTTGAGGGAATAAATCATTTAGACTGATGTCTCCGTTTGACAAGTGACATTTATATTGTTTCCTCAGAAGACTTATCAGGTATTTTGGCGCCATTCATGATGTTAATCCTTTTGGAATTAAAACGTTTAAAACAGTTTCCCAAAGTCAACATCAATTTTAGCCACGGATGAGCTTTTATAAGGACATCCAGGAAGACTTAATAAAGAAATTATGACAAGGCTGTATTAAAGACACATTTTACGGAAGCTTTTCAATATTCGATGAATTTCTGTTTCCACGTAATCCGTGAGTTGATGTTCTTTCAGGCTTTTGTAGATCAAAACAATTTTGAAAAAAACAATTTGCAAAGAATTTAATTAGCACCTCGTTAGCAAGAGAAGATTCCAAAATTAATTACATTACTTAAGATCCTGAACTTGTCGGATGAAATTAGTTGAATAAGAGGCACCAAGTGAAGCTCTGAGAAAAATGTTTATTACAGTCGTTTATGGGGGTAAGTCTGCAACTTTATCAGTGAAGGTATCTAGCAAACATAAGTACAACATAAATGCAGCTTCTTTCATAGATGACTGAAAAAGTTATTAAGGATCTTCAAAGTAGACAGAAATTAAACAAATATCTAAAAGGCTCTTCACATTTGAACTTTGTCAGGTAAAGAGGAGTGCTCGTTAAAGTTTGGTATCATTAAGGGTTTCTGGAGTATAGTTTAGTCACGATATTTCAGTGAATACTTAAACTCTTTACACCCTTTAGCACACCTCTGTATGTATTTTGGCCATGCTGTTCTCTATAGATTTCCTTGTGAGCTGACAAGGAGAACTTGTTTAATAATCAAGAGCTTCTTAAGTTGGTGATCATTTCCTTTATATTCATGATCTAAATGTTTGATTCAGGAGTGATATTGTAGGAAAAAATTAGATGCTGGTCGCTCATAGGGGTCCAAGGATTACCAAGTATAAATTTTGTGAAAAGGTCTTAGGAAACGTGTTTCAGCTGCAACGAGCTCCATAACTGCTCAGAGTATTGGCCGCTTAACCTTTCATAGAGGTATTGTTTTTCGCAGAACAAGAGGAAGTGTTGTTTAACACCGATTGCAAGCTCAAGCTGTTGTTAGATTGTATCAAAAAGCTGTGCAAGTGTGAAATGCAAGGTGATTAAAATATAATATTTGTGACAATCATATTTTGTTCCGACTCCAGGATTTTTCAAATAAATGGGGGAGGAGTGGGTGGGGTCACACTTATGGATATCTGCGCACTTACGTGATGTGGCTCATATCGCCGCTCATCCTCATGTAGCAATAGTCTAATACGCATGCGGCAAGATGGGGCGGCAAATGTCAGCCAATCAAAACGCAAGATTTTTACAGGAGTTTTATATAGAATTTACATGCTGTATACTTTTATTGAAGCATTTCTTAAGAAATGGTTTGTCATACGATAAATAACACCAAATAGTTCAAAATGAATAACAAGTAACGCCAATGCAGAAGCTGTGATGGATTCTGCCCCTTTTTTTTTCTTCAGCTGAAGTGGATCTGTGTGAAGTAACCGGTCATCCAAAATATCTACAACATCAGCCTCAAGAATCTTATGCCACAAATTTCTTAAAACCCAGAGGAAAATACGTCCTAATACAAATGGAAAGTACGTTATGCTGTGTTGTACTCCCATTGCGTGCCTACATTTTTTACGTCAACGTCCGCGAAACGGACCAAGTGTTTGTCGAAAAAGAACTAGTCGTGTTTATACTGGCATATTTTGTTACCTAAAATCGTTGTTGTTGTTGGTCAAACTTGAAACAGTCGAAAATCTACTCTATTGTCAAAATTGGATGTTTACTCGGTTCGATTATGGAACATTTGTGGATTATCATTGGAATCCCTGAAAATAAATGGTTTGAGTTTTCGCTTTCGAGTGTATTCCTATGTGGTTCTGCGAACTGCGTAATATGTATCCCTGGCAAGGTTAATACTTACATTTCCAGGCATTTAGAATTTATTCTGAAAAAAAGTTTAAGTACGTGATCTTGAATTTTTACTTGTAATTTTTCTTTTCAGGGGAAAATGGAAAATCCTTTTACAAACCTCTTCTTAGGGATAAATCTATTATCACTGACCATTTTCTAGGTAAGAAAATGATCTTTATAAAGTCACATAATCACAGCCTTGTAAAACATATCGGGCCGGTTATTTACACGAGGTCTAACCCAAACCGCGATTTTGCGCAAGCAGTGAGCCTCAGGTATTCTTTATAAGAGAGTTGACTGTAATCAGATAAATTTTATTTCCACTGCTAATTTTTGGTCCTCTTGACACAGTTCACAAAATAAAGTATACAGGTAAGAGGTTCAGCTAAATTGTGGATAGCTTAGTGCACAGTTTTGTTAAACAACGGTCAAACTTTGTCTAAATAACCGGCCCATCATCAGTTGTCCACTTGGTCAGCTTTTACTGTTTTTGTTTTCACTCAAAACGCAAGGGGGTGGGGTGGGTAATGAAGCGAAAATGAATTTCTCCAGTAGTGTCTTTTACTTTGATAAAAACTATTACCAAGGAACCATTACTACTTCAATCTTACAGAAATAAGAGAGATGGTAAGTTTTTTTTTTCTTTTTTCAATCTTGTTTTTTTCTTAGCGAGCTTGGAAAAAGATATGGCAGAGAGAGAAGTGAGTCGTTCACCCGGCGCTGATAGACTGCGAACGAAGAGAAATTCACTTAAACCTGGGCGAACTGGTACATCAGGAAAAACAAAACCGAGGGCGCTCTCGATGAACAAGAATTCTTAAAAAATGCCTTTAATTTATCATATGATAGGATGCTCTGCTTCACAGCCAATATCCTTGATGATTTGATTAATAATTCTTGGTGAAGAGGTGATATACCTCTAGCAAAGCAAATCGATTGAGCCCCCCCTCCCCTCCCCTCCCCCCATCTTACAATAGACATGGCAGTGATACTGCATAGTGTTCCAGGAGAGTATTGTCCAAATTAATCCCCTCCAACAGGAGACTTCTGAGTGGGTTGGTCTTCCTTAAAATGGATTGTCTCAGAACATTTCGTCTTTCCTTGTGCCTTAAAATTTTGAGATCTCGACTTTTGAGGTCTAGGCTTGATCATTTCAAAGGAAGTTCGTAATAAATAATATTCTGATCCGAATATCCGAGACGACACTTGGATGAAGTCTGTATGACCTTTCCGAATCGTAATTGTTACACAGACCAAAAGTGAACTGATAGCTCGTCTGGTTCGTCCATTGTCTGTGGAGATGAATAACAAAACAGAAAAAAAGGAATTTTTCGTAGTTTGACATACAGTTCCGACTATAAAGTTACACATTTCAATGATATTCCTGGATCCTTGCAGTATTCAGCTGATTATCGCAAGAATTCACTTCCACATCATATCATGGCTGCACTAATGAAGATCTTGTTTCTTGATTATTTAATTATTTACTTTTCACCGTACCTTGAATTCAGGATCTGTTTGTCTCGCATCTAGTGCATTAGTTAGTGACATTCCGGAATCAAGTGACTCTGCATCTAACAAAGGACAGAACATATCAACAATTTAAGACAATTTTCATGAGGTTTTTCTTAATGCTCAAGTAATTACAATGTACGCCTCAGGTACAAGTTTACTTACAAGAATCTCGCGCCAGTTCCCTCATTTGAGCGAAGTCTGTCCGACAGTAGGCTGGGTCTAGTGGCCATTCAGGCTCACTCAGTTCATCGTTGTTATTATTTTGAAGAACTCTAATTGTTGCTGTCTTCTCCGCCAACTGCGAGTGAAGGGATTTTATTCTATGTTGAAGAAGGTGGAATATTAAAGGTTAGTGTTCCTGTGGTAAAAATCACTATAGTTCGATGGAAGGTAAAAATACTCATTCTTATAACTTACATAGATTCTAAATCAGCACAGCGCCTGTTGGCCACGTATAGTTCTTCAACGGATTTTAAATTTTCCGCTCTACATTCAGCAATAATCTTTTCACGTTCCTGGATGGATTTTTCCAATGCCGCTATCCGTGCTTCCCTGAATTAGATACATAACACATCATTAGAACTGTGGTGAAAGATTTTTTCGCGCATTAACACAAATTACACCGCGCTTTCTTCGTTCATTTGTTATCACCGCGCATTGGTGAGTAACGCGTTTCCCAACACGGATTGTGCTATCTTCCCGCCATTTTATTTTTCGAGTTACGCATTTTCTCAGGTCTTCCATTAGGTACATGATTCCTAACACTTGTTCGCGCTCACTTTGATTTTTGAGCTATGACTCATCTATGGAATTTTTTGAACCTATTGCGCAAGAATAAACTTACTTTGGGACAGAGACAGCTTTTATGGCCAAGCTCCTTGATGTACCTTCCTGCATTAACGTTTGTTCAAGCTAAAAAGAAGCAGACGAAGGTTCAATCACCAATTTTCTTTGCATAAAAAATAACATTTTACTTTCACAATTACCCGTGATAGATTATCTTCCAGCACTTGAATCCTTTCGTTTTTTTCTCTCAACATTTCAAGTAACCCAGGGATAGATGTAGGTCCATCTAACTCTGCTATAACTTCTTCAGCTGAGATTGAATGCCGGTGATGTGTTCCTATTTCATCAGCAGTTGTTGAGCACAACCTCTCGTCAACAGGGTTACTTTCCATCATGCGCAGACCATGTACCGTCCCTGTGGGGCTTACGTGATTCTTGTGCAACTTTTCCTCGAGCTGTAATAGAAACATTGTATTTCTGTTAAAGCTAAATTGAACTAAGGGGGTAATTTTCTAAAGAAACTGTGGTGCTGCGTCGGTGGGAGAGTATAACAGGGTAATTTAGAATTATCAACCGAGTTTATAACGTAAATTGGCCACCGTAAAGAGGTTTAAAAGCTGAAGTTTCGAGCGTTAGCCCTTCGTCAGAGCGATTGAACTAATACGGATTACGTTATTTAAGCTCCAAACCAATTAGGGCACGTCTTAATTTTGTTTTCCAAGAAAACATGAATCTCACCTCATTTTGGAGACATGTTATTCTCTCTCGACTTTGTGCTAGCGATGAACTCAGTAGATCTTTATCTCTCTCCAGTTCTTCAATTTGTGTGTTCTGTCGGTTTATTGTATGTTCCAGCTCTTCTCGCGTTGAAATAAAGAGGTTACCTAATTCCAGACATATGAAATGTTGCTATCAACTACTTTTAAAATGATTGTCTGCAGCAGCTCTTTTATTGTTAATTAACAAGCCTTACGTTGGCTGCGAAGTGAAAAGTTGATCATGAAACTCTTACGTGCATATATTCAGGAGAGAGGAGAGAGGGTATACGACAAGAAGGACCAAAGCCCGTCTGATCACTAGGCAACTTCCGGAGTAATTTCTCACTCAGTCCTGCTCGCGTGGCTTTGGGAGACCTGGTCATGAGATTATGTCAGAGACCGTGCGGGAGCCAATGGGAACTCACATTAAAAGGAAACAGCTTAAAGCGCGGGAAAAAGCGAGTCGCGGCTGGCTTTATTTTTGTATCTGATTGGTGGAGAAGATGGCGCAATTTTCCTAAACCAATCACAGACCGTGTTGGAGCAAAACCATTGCAGTCCTGGATTACTTTCAACACATTGAAAAGTGTTTTAAAAACTTAGTATTAAGATTACTTTGACCGATGAGTTGTCGTATGATGTCATTTTTGAGCCTAAGTTCCCTCTTGAAGTTCTCCAATGAATTCTGTAACAAAATAGAAAAGAAAATGGTACAAGACGCTTTAGTAATATTTAATGTCTAAGGCGCTAAAATATATTTAATACGCATGCTAATACATGCTCTTACATTCTCTTGTCTTTGGCCATTCAAATGTTGCCTTGCTGTCGGTATATTGGGGGTTTATTAAGCACAAGAAGACGTATTTGTTTGAACAAGGTTGCAAACCTGGACCTGTTTTCGAAAACATCTGTAGGTGTGCTGTTACATATCGTCCAAACTTTTATGTTTTGATAAATTACCTTTCCTTGTTCGACTTCATCTTTACATTTCTCTAGTTCAGCTGTTGAAAGAATATTAAGTGAAGAATGTTTTGATAATAATATGACCGCCATATCCGGTACAAACATCACCAACAATGATATCAATATTGAAGTTTTTTAACTGCATCCAAACTTGTTGTCTTTCTAACGTAGTTTTTACAACTGACGTAAACGTATTTGTGTAATAGTATCCTTCAATCAGTTCATGTATTTTCCAACTTGATGAACAGGTTCTTGAAGTCTTCAATCTGGATCAATACAAACAAACCTCACTTAATTTTGTCTCTGTTTCTTTAAATACCTCTTCGCAAGCTCTATCTGCTTAATTTATACATCGGTTTATATCGGCTGTTGATGGCTTTCCTTAGAGATTTTAACAACAAACTGATCAAATAAAACATTCAATCATTATGAGAAACGTCAACTTGTAAGTCTGTAAAATGACCTTATACGTACATTACATGACATGACGAGAACTCATTGATTTCCGTTCGGTCATCAGGTTAAAATTGTGGTATTTGTAATCTTATGAAATCTCTGAGTAGTAGAATTCTGCTTGAAAAAAACACGAATGAACCTAACGTGATCTTATTTCTGATTTTTCATTGTAGTAGATGTCGGCTTTGACAAGTTTCCTAAATATCGCAAATATTCTACCAATATTTTTAATTCCCCTTTAATTTAAATATATCTGTGCCACTTAATAGCAAATTACTGTCTCCCCTTACGAGTTCAAAAATAAATTTGTGAAATATTTTCATTCTTTCATTCACAGATTTTAAGGTGGAAAACTGATTGTCTTTTTCCATTCGTATTTGCTGTAAGTTTGCGGGAGAAAATCCAAACATTATTTTCGTCTTTGATGCATGTTTTTTGGGTAAAGAAAGATCAGGCAAACAGCGACTAGAGCATCCTAAAACATTAAAACATGCATCTATTATCTTCAAAATGATCATTTCACATCTACCTAAAGAATATTTCTGTATTTAGCAGATTTTACTGAGATCTATTTGCTTTCTATCATGTCGTGAATGTTTTTGCGCAGCCGAAAGATATACTATTATGACTAGATCATAGCATTCCTGTAAAATTGTCGTCATGAATATACAGCTGATACCAAAATAACAGTGAACTGTTTCACATTTAATTTACAATACCTTTCTGTTTGAAATCCAAACCATTCTCACCTTCAAGATTCCTGTCTCTTTCTCGAAGTTCCTTCATCTCCGTTTCCATCCGTGTTCTTGTTCTGTATTCCAGGTTTTCACGTTTCTTAAACGATATTTGTAGTTCCTCGTATGCAGTGCGCAAGCTCTCAAGTTCATCTTCAACCTGCAATATAACTGCGTTATTGACCTTGCTTGAGGTCGAGATTACGTATACTGGCTAATTTTATTTTCGTTGTGTGGACCAAGACATATCAAGGCTCCCTAAAAACGTCAGAAGAAAAGATGACGTAAATTTCCAATCATGATGACCTGAACTTTGTTCAAAAAAGGATTTATCATCTGTCCAAAATATTTCCTTGAGAAAGTTCGCTTCACTGCAAAGTGCCTTCAAAAAAACATTTTTCTTTGTTTTTGCTATATTCAAGAAATGTGATTGCTATGTTTTATGATTCATTTTTAACAATTTCCAGGAAACTTTTTTCGTGTAAACAACATTTTCTAAGATGTCCGGAAGTGTCTATGCCGGCTTCGATTAATTTTGTGTTGTTACGGGAATAGACCGAACAATCCCGAGGGATTAAAATCATGGTGCTCAGATTGTGCCTTCAAAAACCGTGAACGAGATTTTTTCTTTCCTCACCGTTTGCATTCTACTCATCTTATGGTAAACGCTTTGCAGTTTTTCTCGTAATGCAACATTATCACGTGATAACAATTCAACCATTTGAGTGGCTCTTGTGGCAACTGCTGATGCTGTTGGCGTCGAATCAACTGGTCTGTCTGGATCTTTATCAGGTATATCTACAGGAGAAGGACAAATGTATGTGGCCGCTAAATCTTTTCATGAGCCAGTCGACCGAGACTTCATGACTAGAAATGCAGTCTTGGCCCCCTTATACTTTTGCCCGATGTTTTTGTGGTCTGTGTCCGAGATCTCTCATACTATTAATAGGGACCTTAAGCAGTCAGGACGGCAACGCCAAGGAAGACTTCGATTAAAAAATAAATTTCTGCCTTTAATTAGAATTTAAAAAAATGGTTGCATGTGTTTACCGTCATACGGCGCCACACCTCAACTTCAGCATAGCGTATAAAAGTTCCAAATGAAAATTAAAACAATTTGCCGTCGCGGTTTCGGTCTGGAGACGATGCAAATTGTGGTGATTTCACGTTGTTGTTTTGTATAGGACGGCTAAGAAATGTACAAAGTTTTTAAAACGCACGTGCTGAGCTATTGTTCTGCCAATTAGATTTTTTGTTTTTCCATTTCCTCATCTCCGTCGCCGATGTGGTTTGCTTAAGGTCCCTAACACCCTTCTGGAACGGATCGGGCGTAGACAGCTCGTGCTCTCTCAGTAAATAGGTGCTCAATATGAGTAAAATCGGTCGGTGATTGTTCACTGATCGATACTCAAATACATTATTATGACAGACAAGTACAGTAATTGAAAGAGAGTATTACATTGTTCTTACCAAAACCGTATCGCTTGTCACTGTCTTTGTAACTAAAATTTCCGTCAGAGCCATCATCACCTACTGATTCTTCTTCATCTCTATGCTTGAAGTTTATAACTCTTTGATTCAACAGTTCTTCATTCGTTCTGCATCCATTACCGTCTCTTCGCTCATCGCCGTCATACACAACAATAAATCTTTGTTCACTTTCATTGTCATCAAAATTGCTCACAGTAATACGAGGAGTCCATAAGGTTTTTGTCCGTTTTGTATAGTCTCTTCCATTGGGCGCTGGTTTTATTTTTATTGAGGCAAGCTTGGAGGATTCTTTCAGGAGAATTTCCCTGTCCTTAACATTTGTGATCTCTAGGTCATCTGGAGAAAGATTAGAGATAAAATCAAGTTGTTTGAACTTTTGCTTCTTTATATATTTATATACTTTTTCTTGAACTAAGTTACACTGAAGATTTAGCCGACAGCAAGAGTAAATTCTTGATCGCTGATTGAAAATGTCTCCACCACGAGGATCTGAATGTAGACCCTTAACAGTTCTAAAGGATCTTTATGGGGCAGTTTTAGATTTTGACTACTAAATATGAGCTTCTGAAGGAAACATATGAATGGTTGAAAGTTCAATCTTGCTCTGTTAAGGCAAAATGAACAAATTCGAGTTTTTTCTTATGGTTTTCTAGCTTGATAAATATAAAAGCAGAATTTCTGGTAAATAACTCTCCCAGCTGAGCTATAATCTACAGGGGGAGGAGGAGGGGGAACGGGTGTCTAAAGGGAATTTAAGACGACAAAATTCACTCGCTTTTGAGGGCTTTAAGTCCCAAAAAAAAACTAAAAAGTAAGCGCTTAAAGTAAACCTGTATGCTCTGTTTAATTGTTATGACCCCCCAAACCACAGCTTGTTAAGCATTACATACTCTGCCGAAAAAACTTGGGCAATCTTAACCCCCCACCCCACCACCCTTCTTCTTAAGCTCCCTTCCCGCTGAGCCAATTACAATTGATTGATGTAGATAACAATAAATAGATGAACAAAGTGCTTAGTAATTCATGATTTAAAAATTGCAATGTCATTCTTGACGACAATGGCTTTTCATATAATTTTCTGATTAGGTTCAAATCTTTTTTGAAAATGTTAATGAGCCCATACTACAAATTATTTTATTATTTCTAGGTTTTGACAGGGACTTTATATCACTAAGACCACAAGTCCAGTTTCTTCTTTCTCTTAAGTCTTTATTCAACTTTTTTCTTTATGAAGCGTTTTGTTACAATAATGTTTTCATCTGTTCCTTCAGAGACTGTAAAAGAAAGGGTTTATTCATAACAGAAGAAAAGTCATAGACACAAATTTGCCCGGTAATTGCAACTAGTTTACAACTGTCGTGACCTCTCGTGATTTGCATGTTGTCGCTAATTTGCAGTTTAATTAAGTGAAGCATAAAACATTTTATAGGCTGAGATAAAAAGAAATTGGACTTCAATTGAAATCAGCCGTTGATCTATTGTTGAGAATTTCTGCCCATTTCGACAAAGCATAGAGATGAAACAAAAGAGAGCGGAATCACTGATTATAGAGTCACAGAATCAAAAGTAAACCTCGTTGTGTTACGTAGAGGTGAAGCGAGGAAAAAGTGTTAAGTTCTCTTGCTGCTGTTAATTAGTAAGCAAAACGGCTGGATTAAAAGCGTCTTACGAAACACTTACTAGGAGATAAAAAGATTCACATTTATTCTCTGACGCAATATCGCGAGCAATCAAGAATATAAACAAAGGCGAAAGTTTGTGCTCTCTCTTATCCGAGCGTCTAAACTTTACCACATTTATATCAATATGCCCCGTCGCTTTATTGAAGGAAAGCAAATATTTTATAGCTATCGATCAAGTGTTCTCTGAGAGACAGACAGTATTATATCCAGCGAATTATAGAGCATTTTCACACAACTACTGTTTGAATATTATGTAGGGAATAATTGTGTTTTGGTTTCCAATGTATGTTTGTTTATCAAGCTAAACTTCTGATTATCAGAGTTATGTGTTCAGTTAGTAAGTAATTCGAATTTTGTCTGCCGGTAGAATCAAATAAATGAGAGTGTAGAAGCTAAGAGCGTGGCTTTGAACTTGACGAAATATTTAAGATATGAAGCTGTTATAATTTCTGTTCAAGGAACTGAGTTTAATTTTGTTGTCAAGTACTTACCAAGAAGATTATCATCCATTTGGAGTAAAACAGCTCCATTGACAAGATATCCTACCAGAAATCAACAGTGAATAATTGAAAGAGAACAGACTTTACAAGTATGAATGTGTTGTGAAAATTTGGCGAAACTTTCCCATCTTTGTACTACAGAACAACTTTACAAAAGATTTCTGTCAAAACATTTGAAACAAACGATATTGCATGACCTTGTCGTGCTTAACGATTTCTCTGTCAGACTGATATTGTTCATGTTGAATAACTGAAAACTTTCATTCTGCTCACTTAGAGTCAAGCATAGCTCATTGGATGAGTGTATCTGATAAAAGGAAGAGCTGGATTAACAATGTCAAAAATCAGTTACCTTTAAATCTTTTCGCATACTTTGGAAGCCCTATTTCTTTTAACCAATGAGCAACTTCATCAGCGTTCCAATCCATTTAGAACGTGCCAGCGCACGGCGATTTATGGGCTTGCAATGTTCAAATTTGTACACCACCGTGCAACAAGAAACCACAAAACCTCAACTCATTATTCCTTTGTTTGCATGCAAACGTTTCCAGAGAAGTGATCGGGCTCAGAGGAAACTCGGAGATTCACTTCAGTCTAACTTATCTTCATCGAACAACAGCTTGCAAGTGAACTCCTCAAACAAAATGTCAAGTTAGGTTGAGTGAAGGCAATGAATTAGCAGGTGACATCAACTTTAATGAGATGCTTTCAGATGCTTACCAGGTAATTAACGCAGCTACTGGTGACCTGACTTTAATTAAACTTTCTTCCAACTTCATGATGTGGATACAGATACACACATTTCTCAAAGTTAGACTCGCTATAGCAGGATTTATTTCTTCTGCGCGGAAATAAAAAGGTCACGTATAGTACCTATGTGACTTTACGAATTAAACTTATTTTTAACAAACTCAAATTTTGTGCATATTTCCCTCGGCACTCGTCAGTTCACCCATCAAGTTGCCTTCGTTATTTTATCCCTTTTATTCCCGAAAAGAACTTTTATCCTTTTCTTTTCGGTCAAAAAAGTATTTCTTTTTATCATTGAGTGCTTGAGATATCAACTATATTTGACGCATAGTTGCGATGACCCATTTCAATCTGATGACCATACTTAATTTCTGTATCTGGCCTCTATGAGTTGTTAGTTAATCATGTCATCAGTAAATTATCGGTTAGTTGAGGTTATGACTCTTTGTTTGCTGTGTTTTGACGTTATTCCTTAAACGGAAGTAATGTCCTGAAAGCTATTTCCGGTGTAATTACCAAATGCCCTGAAACCCATTTAAGATAGGCGCGAGTGCGTCATAATGATGTCAGCAGTGGAGAAAACGTGCAGCAAGTGAGATACTTTGAACGCGAATCGCGAAAGGAGAACGCAAAGTGCGACGGAGCCATAGTAACATGCAGCATATCCTCCCGATCTTGTTTTCAAAAAGCGTAATAAGATGACATATTCATAACCGCACATCCTTGTAAAACGCATACTAAAAACTGAATCCCGGGCATGGAAGCTTTTCATCGCACGCCTTTCCCTCAGGTTTTGTTGGCGTAGTAACACTCAACTCCGATCTCTAGACAGAGGTCTGGTGATAAGTTTTGACCTCCTCAATTGACTTGTCTAAAATTTTAATCAATTTAAGATTGTTTTTGGTTTGTTTGTTTGTTTTTTCCTTTGACAAAATCGTTGTTTATAGTAGGATTTGGTTTTAAGTTTTGATCAATTTGGATTCAATTCTAAACAATCACCACTCAGGAGGACTAAATTTCAAGGTTACCGCATAACATTTTTCCTGGCTAAGTACAGTAACCAGGCAGCAGGTTTTCTGCTCCGTCAACTTCTTGGATCTTCTTTCTTTTGAAAGTTCCATCTTATTCACTTAAGGAAATTTTTCATAAAATGTGGAAGCAAAACCTTTTCACAATTTTCCTATATGGAGTCATAATTTTTAATGCTGCAATGGTATTACTAAAACGTAAGCGATGCATCAGTTGTTTGTTATATTTAGTGAGCTTGTTGACTTTTGAATATGGCGACTGTAATATTTATCTCTTGGGAAAAACGCTTTTTATCTTCAAAAAGAAAACTTTATTCGTTCCTCATTGGTGTCAGTGAATGTAGATTTGAGTTGAGATATATTTGATTTCAGTCTCTCAACAATGAGATTTATCAAAATCAAAACATCATCCGTACAATTTTAACGTGGAAAATTTATTCAATCGATTACTTTGCTTTTTTTCCTACAGGTAAGATTTTGAATGGATTGTAAAAAAGCAGGTTTCATTGGAATTTTTTTAGTGGTACTTAAGGATTTTGTTTTACTTTCATTTGCCTTCCAGATATTTACCACAGGCGCACTTCATTGCTGCTCACATGTGAAAATTCAGACAGCAATCTTGGCATGTCTGCTGAACAGTGTCCTCTGAAAGCTCTATCGAGTCACTGCACTCAAAGAGTATTGGACGGTGTGAACATGAGCCAAGGGCTTGTTCTTGGAAAGGAAAGAAAACAGAAAGGTATTAGTGTTCGATAGCCATCTTAATTTTACGAGGTAGATTACGGTCTAAAATGAAACTCAAACGGTTTAATTTTGCAATTACTGAAAGAGTATATTTGTCATGTTAGACACAGAATAACCGAAGAGACATTTTAAAGACAGTTTTATTCACCGATACACCGGTGTTTGTTTCTTATACAGGATAGCTAGAGCCTTGGATGTTTCTTTCCAAAAATTTCGCGTTTAAGCCTGCGTGGAAATTTCTTATGTAACTGGGCAGGTGGAACGATTTTCGGAAATGTGAGGCGCGAGTTATAACTTGTACAATTGTGTTTTTATTTGCGTTCTTCTGACTTTTGTCAATTTTTCTCCAGTTTTCCTCACTCTTGGCATTGTTGCAACGAAAGGCGAAGAGAGCAACCTGATACAAGCTCTCTATTCCTTGAAAAAGCATATCTCAATAGATGAGCATGTCGACATCGTGTTCGCTGTGGTTTCCGAAGGAGATTCAAAATCACTTCTCTTACAGCGCATAAAAAGCGAATTCGAACACGAAGTGGACAAAGGTCTCATTCAGGTCTTACATCCCACGGATAAATTTAATGAGGCAGTCAACATAGAACCCCTGGGATGGGGTGATTTGACATTAACAGAGGATTTTAAAAAGACTACAATGGCCTTCAACAAAAGACTCTGTTTCCTTCTCGAGTACTGCTTTCGTTCGTCTAAACACTGCTTACTTTTGACCGATCAAGCCCGTGCTTTGAAACCTTATTTGTCAGTAATCAAGGAAGTTGTAAACAGAATTGAAGAGAAAAACCGTACACTTTACGCACATGATTTCGGAGAAAGGTCGCTGCCTTCCTTAGGGCGGCTTTATTCGGAGGCTTTAGTTGGCGATTTGGCTGAATATGCGGCTCTTTTCCCAGGGGGTCGTTTCCCTCAATCAATCATAGATCTCTTTGCAGCTCTGAGGGTTTCCAGTTCATCAACATCTCAGACAGGTGGTCAGTTCCTTTTTAAACTGGCTGCAGAGCCACGCGGTGCAAAACCAAGGGCTGAGTTTGACACAACTGTCGAGTGTGAGAAAGGTCATGAAATAGAGAAAGCTTTCATTCAAGAAAGCTTTGCTTGGCTCCGGACACCGAAAAAGGATGATAAAGTTATTGTGAAATTCGGAAAACCTTTTGCAATATCGCGTGTGCTTGTAACCACTGGAAGTCCTTTTTACAGAGATATTATGATCAACAGCGAACTCCTCTTGTGCGCTAATGATATGGAAACAAACACGTGCGATGAATCACAGTGTAAGGCAGTTGGGTCCTTCGCAGATCCCATTTTAGATGTTAGAAACCTGGAAACTGTCGTGAGCTTTCCAGTAAAATGCTTAAAAATTTATTTTACTGCGGACGCTAAGCAATGGGTTATGATTCGAGAGATTTCAGTTTGGCCAAGAGAATAGGAATAACAACTTGGTCCCTGTGTTTCTTAAAGACATCTCGCCTTGTTGTCTGACGGGGCGCGATTTGTTTTTGTCCAAAGTGAGATTACTCTTAAACATTTTATGTAAAATAAAATAATATTTAACCATTCAAATGGCTATAAACCTGCACGAATTGAGTTAGGAAATGTACAGGGCCAGAGCCCAAAGTAAAACTCGAGATGTAATCCTGAAAACTTATGTTATAGGTTTCAACTTCCCGCAAAATTTCAACAGGAGCCATACGCACAAATTAAAACCCGCATTAACGTATATTGCGCGTTTTTTTCTTCTGTAAGGATAGCGTACCATTAAGGTAAAAAACCTTTAAAAGGTGAGAAAAAGGTGAGCTTGGGAGAGATGGTAAATGTTCAGAGGAAGAATACGCCATGGAAAAGTGCCCGAGGAATAAAATATTGCCAAATTACAGTCACATCTCCGCTAAGAGACACTCGTAAGCGGGCATTTCTACTTTCGGACACTTTTTCAGTTCCCTGCTTTGCCTGCTTAGTATTTATACATTCCCGTAAGAGGACACTTTAACAATAAACGGACGCAGACACTTATAAAAGTGAAAATGGGATATTCTCTTGTTTACGCTCTCTCGTAAGCAGACACCCCAGGCATGATAAGTGACTCTTGCAATGAAATTTGTCTTGAATTTTCAAATCAACTCGACAAAAATGTGACCTTCGACAGAGCCTAAACAGAACAGTAGGGATCAGTTTTGTCAATCCCCATTTGTCTGTGGGAAAACAAGCTATCCATAAGCAAGAGTGCGATAATATCTGTAGTGCCACGTTCTGGCCACGGCCTCTTTCCTTCCTCTTCTTCCCGAAAGTGAACATTCACCCTATTTTTCTTTGGTTTCCACTTATGAGAATAATTATCCTAAACGGACAGCTCTTCTATACGAACGGACTCTTTTTCGAATTCCCGAAGGTGTCCGCTCACGAGAGAGTTGAATGTAGCTCATACCCCAATTTGAGATCGAGTGCGAGCGTGAGGGACTGGCACTCGTACGTTTGACCGCTGGCTCACCGATGATAACAAAAAATGGCGGATAACACGGCGGATTAGGAGTAAATTACATCTTGATTTAAAATGGATGAAGACGATGAAAGGACTGAGGTTGATGGCCAGCTGACAATTGAAAGTATAAAGTTAATTTCTGAATCCATGGGCATATCTAATCTCAATGAGGAGGCGATAAATCTGCTCATTGATGATGGGACATATCGATTGAAACAACTCGCTCAGGTGAGATTAGCGTCATGTTTCTTTGCATGCTTGCTCAACTATCCTCTTTGGAAAAATGTTCGGCGACTTGCGAATAGAGATAGATCTTGATCAACTTTTTGAACTTAAATGTTCAGCTGGGTTAGCATTTTGAAACTTGTTTTGAAATTTGAAAATTTGATGTAAACGTTGTGTCAGGAACGAAGTTAATTTGTCACCGACCAAAGAAGAGCTCATATCTTCATTGAAATGAGGTTATTGTTTCCTCTGTTCGTACGATACTGGAACTGAAAGTATGGCAGTCCTGAAAAAATTACTTACATCTAGTATATTTATTGAGTACCTAAAGGGAAAATCGCGATGTATTTTAACTCTTGCTTCAAATCTTCAGGAGTCTGCTAAATTTATGCAACACTCAAAACGCAGGAAACTCGTCACTGGAGATATCGACAATGCACTGCACGTGCAGAATATTGAGGTACGATGCATTTAACGTTGATTGTTGATCTGTTTTGGAGATACGTACTGAATATATTTAAACAGTGGTTGTGGCCAGCAGTCTTTGGAATTGTTCCTATTTAAAATAACAAATGGAGGGCTCAGAGCAAGAACGATCCCTTGATTTTTCGGCCATTTTTGAAAGTGTCCACATGCCAAAATTCAACTACTTCTGAACACTTTCAAAAATGGCCGAAAAATAAAGGGATCGTTCTTGCTCTGAGCCTTTCAAATAGATTACCATGCGTCTGTCCAGTTATATATCACAGATGACTTAAAAATTTGGTATGAAAATAAAGTGGTGCATAAGGCAGCACTGAGTGTTTACTTATGCTCTTACCACTTTTTTTATGTCCTCTGTAGTCTGTTACTGGGTATTACCTCCAACATGGAATCTTTTTGTAATTATAATAATAATATTAATTACATCTTTAGCCAGGGTAAACCCATCAGCAATTGCTGATATCAATGGGTGCCCTGGTAAATTATACAAAACAATACTGAAGTGAATAAAACAAAAATAAGACCAAAATATCAATCATAATTAAAGATAATTATGAAAAATCTAAATATGTGTGTAGGTTGACTAGAAATCATTTAAAAATTCTCTTATTTTTTATTTAAATATTAATAATGACTTATGCCCCATTCACACCAAAGCTTAAACATGTTTAAAAGTTGTTTTGTTAAACACAGTTTAATTTTTTTTTTCTTCATAGAAACTATTTAACCGAATATTTTTGACTTGAATGTAGCACATTGGAAATACAAGTTAGCTAGTACTTGAATCCAATGGAAAATCAAGTTTTTCAGTTCTCTGTTTATAATTTTCATTCAATGAAAACCAGTTTAACAAAACATGTTTTGCTGGTGTGAATGGGGTATTAATTGATTTTAATTCAGGCAACAAATCATTGAACGCTTTGGCCCCAGCATAAAAACAACCCTTTTTTGCACCACCTGAGAATGACTAGAGATACTATAATAGTTCTCAAAAATTTCTTGTCCATCAGACTTAAGACACTTAAAACAAACGTTAATCTATGTATCATACATCATGAATAGAGGGTTTTCCAACCCAAATGTTGAGTAATGAAATATGCGTTTATTGTTCATGGTGGTGTAAGATTGGAGATGAACTTTGTTTGTTTGTCTCACGACAGTCACTTTTTGATGTAGATTGCAACGTCTCAACTGCAATACTCCTTGTCTTCATCAGGCAATGAGGTCAATTGTTTACAGGTCGCCATTTGTAGCACGTTGGTATGCTGCCATTCGTGCATTTCGATCTTCATTATTATTCTGGTTGTTAGATGGTGTTCCCTCATGGGTCCTTACATGGAATCTTTTTGTTTTACATGATAAAAAATCATAATATTGTTACTGTGACATCACCTACACGTCTGTCCTCCAACAGATCATAAGTACAAACCAATCAAAATGCATGTATAATTCAATATCATACAAAACTAAACTGACTTGTTTAATAGCTCTTTACAATATTTCATAAATAATGCTGTTTTGAACTTCAGAAGCGTTGTCTTTTCCACTTGCAGCCTCTTTATGGCTTTGGCTCCAAAGAATTTGTTCCATTCCGTTTTGCCAGTGGTGGAGGAAGAGAACTGTATTATTATAAGGATCCTGAAATTGACTTAAATGAAATTGTGAGCTCACAGTTGCCGCGTATTCCAGTGGATGTAACCATTAAAGGTACTTTGTTGTTGTAAGGTGCTGCAGCAAATTGTTTATATGATTGACATGTAGTATAGTAACATGTAAAAAATTTTCTTGGATTGCTTTGGTTTTGCTTTTCTTTGCACTGTGAAAACTTACACCACCCTTAAGATCAATCAGATGTGCATCAAAACTGAAACTAACCTCTACTCAGTCACTAGCATTCTTCTGGGTCTGAGGCAGTTTGCTTGTTTTTACTTTAAGCATTTGACCCCCCCCCCCTCCCCACATGAGTGACCAGCACCTAATTTCTCCTTACATTATCAGTCCTGAATTAAACATTAAGGTCACAAGAAAGAAGGAAGTGTTTGCCAACTTGAGAAGCTCTTGATAGATGAACAAATTCTCTATGCTAGCACCATAGTGAGTGTGTAGAGAACAGTATGTACAGTATGGATACCTATGTTAGGGTGCAAAGTTTAAGTAATTGTCACTTCCATGCAACCTTCTCCTTTGCTTTGAATTACTGTTCTGATTGTTTTGGTTTTGGTTTTGAGATGCCCAAACAGAAAGCCTTCTAAGGGGAAATTTTATAAAATCATGTTCTTCTTGGGAAAAACTGAAACACTGGGGGGTATCTAAGGATTAAGCTCTTGTTTGAGACAGGGTGCTGAATTTTTATGTGTGTTTTATCTTTTAGCCCACTGGTTAAGTATTGATGGCCTCCAGCCTGCTATTCCTGAAAATCCCCCTCCAGGTATCTAACTTTACTCAAATCACAGGAGCAAAGTAATTGTGATATCAATATCCTGATCAGTATTAGTATATCATTATGAGGGGAGCCTGTAGGAGCATTTAAGGGTATAAGTAGTAAACTTAATGAAGTATTATTATAAATTGTATGAGTCATACTTTAGAGTGATGAAACTAAAGGATTCAAACTGGAAAACTTTTCATTATTGGTCTGTTGGCTGAACCATTATCCCAATGGATTATAACTCCTAAAAGATTTTCCTCTCTTATAATGATATGATAATTGATTTTCTTTGCTTTCTCTCTTTAGTGCCTGTACAAGTTCAGGCAAAGGACAATAGGGCTGTGTTAGCTGCAGCGTTACCCAAAGTAACTAAAACAATCAAACCACAGGCACCAAAGGTGGCTGGAAAGGGAGCCAAACAAAGTGTTGGGAAAAAGAATAACCAAAATCTTAATAAAGAGGAGGAATCTGGAGACAAAAATGATAAGACAAAACCCCAAGTCACTCATGAATTATCCATGGTAAGGTTTTTGTCAATGAAATTAGTGACTGTAAGATCAGCTGTGGCAGTGAACAGGTTAACACTTTCAGTTGCAGGTCTTGTTTTTAATTAGCCTTTTCGTTTGTCATATATTTTTTTATTATTCTGTAGAATGTGTTAGGATGAGCAAACAGTAACCATTATTCTCTGAACCCAAGAGTGACTAGCTTCTAGTTTCTCCTTACAATATCACCCCTGAGTTGCACATTAAAGATAACAAGAATAAAGGAAATGATCACTGACTAAAGAAGCTCTTGATTGATAAACAAAGTCTCCTTGTCAGTGCCATAGGAAACGATAGGAACAGTCCGGAGAATATGCATACTGATGTTAGGGTATAGAGTGTTAACTCATCTGCCTAGAAACTAGGTGTACTTGGAGAAGTGTTTTGGGATAAAGTAGAGAACTTGACTATATCAGCTAAAAACACTGATTTAAAACCAAATTCTCCTACAGCTGTATCAAGCTTTCAAGGCTTTGGGTGAAGCTAATCCTAGCACAGGGTCAAATATATTTCAACTGACTTGACTGGCTTGTTTTTTAGGAACAACAGTTATATTACAAGGAGATCACAGAGGCTTGTGTGGGATCCTGTGAATCTAGAAGAGCAGTAAGTGAGAGGGGGGTGGTAACCTATGATGGAATGACATCTCAGCTATTGGGAGAAGGAAATTACTGTATACTCCTGATTGTTTTATGCCTAGGAAATTGGGATTAACTCTGTCAGTGTGAGCGATTAGTTTGAGAGTAGACTTACCTTACCTTACCTTTCATCATTTATCTCCAGGAAGCTCTACAAAGTTTATCAACAGACCCAGGTCTCTATCAAATGTTACCAAGATTCAGTACATTTATCTCTGAGGGGGTAAGTCTTCATTGCACCTTTAACTTCCAAAATCTGATTTGATCAATTGTTCTTCCTTCTAGCTGTCATTGATTTCCATGTGAATAGTTAAAAAGAATTTGGTGTTATATAGAGGAAACACTCTCTTGCTGATACCTTTTTGTTCTCATAACTTATTTGTTTGACAACATATTTGTATCATTTGGAGAAATGAGATTGTAATCATTTAGCTGATGTTGATCAAAATGTAAACTAGAACATTTGATATGTGAAAATGTGTGTGGTATTGATATCTCCAATAACAGTTTTTGAATGAATATAAGCTAGTGAAAAGCACTAATAATGGCTGCTCTTTGTATCAATTTATCCTAGGTGAGAGTAAATGTGGCACAAAATAACTTAGTGTTATTGATTTATCTGATGCGTATGGTGAAAGCTTTGTTGGATAATCCAACACTTTATGTGGAGAAATATGTAAGTTATTGGTTTGTCTTTCTGAAACCTTGATATATTTTCAGTTTTGGGTTTCTTGGATAGCAAAAATTTTCCTCCTTTTTGTTGCTTTTGATTATTATTATTATTATGATCATCAAGTTGTTTGTTTCTAACTCAACAGCTGCATGAGTTAATTCCAGCAGTAATGACTTGTATTGTGAGTAAACAACTTAGTACTAATCCAGAAACTGACAATCATTGGGCACTTAGAGACTTTGGATCAAGAGTTGTTGCACAAGTCTGCAGGTGAGGAAGAAATTTGTTGTTTGAAAGATGATGTGATGCAGTGAATGACACACTCAGAGTCTTCCTAATAGGAGTCAAACCTAAAACTTTCCCATTTGTACATACTTCAAGTGCTCTACCACTGACCTCAAGGAGACTTGTGGTAGGCTACATTGTAGGCCATTTATTAATGAGGGCATGACCAGTCCAGATTGACTAAACCCAAATGGGATTCATTCTAGCAATAACCTTAAGGTGTTAACTTTATAATTCATAAAGTGTAGTACGTGAAAAAGTGTAGAAGTGATTTAATACAATTGCTTGTTAAGGTGACTGGTAGCAGAAACAGTGACAATATTAGTTTTACAATTTTTAAAAGAATGTAAATGGGTTAGGAAAAATTGCTGTTCTTTGTAGTTTTGTCCCTAAAAAGGTATTCAACTTAGTTTTACTTTGCTTTAAGTTTTTCCGAAGTAGCCTAATGTTACTACATGGTTTTTGTCTTAGGTCTTTTAATTCCACTACAAATAATGTTCAATCAAGGGTTACCAAAACTTACTGCAAGGTAAGTGCAATCCCCCTCAGATAAAAAAAAATATTTTGGTTGTCAAAACATTGTTGTGGAAGATCTGTTGTTCACTTGTTTTAAATCAGTTACTGTTGACACTCGTGTTTGTTCCTGCAGGCATTACACCAAGAAAAAGCTTCATTATCAACTCATTATGGTGCTATAACTGGGCTTGCAGAGCTGGGACAGGAGGTATGTTTTTAATGCTAATCATAAGTAAAGGTTATCTTACAGGGTGGGCTTGCAGATATCAGAGAATACTTAATGTATTATGCAGAATTCTGTGTTTCAATTTTGAGAATTCATTCCTGATACATTACACCATTCTACAGTTACTGCATTTCTTACAAAAACCCTGCCCTGGCATGAGGTTTATTCAAATTTGTCAATGTGATATAACATTCTTATACTTCACTATTAAGTGATTTTGTTCTTCAAACTCTTCTGATTTGAAAGGTGGTTAAGGTATTTGTTGTTCCAAGACTCAAGATTGAAAGTGCTTTGATTAAAAAAGCTCAAGAAGGAATCGACCCTGTGGAGAAGAATGCTGCAGAAAACCTCAAGAATCTACTGCTGGTAATTTTTGATGTGAACTTTGTAGTAATTTCTAATTGTTACAAAAAATCTCTTTCCATTCCATGAATTGATCTGGAACTTTATAAACAAGCCTATGTAATTTCTTGGATCAGATCACCTTTAACCTTTGACCAGATCTGATACAGTGACCTTCCTTTGTTTTATTTTATATTATTTTGCCACAAAACATTACAAGTAAGATATTTACAATTCAATAACTGCAGAGGAATTTCAGTGTTAAATTTATTTACAAATTTGTCAATAACTAGAAAAAGAATTAAATAATGTAACAAGGAAACCCAACAGAAGCTAGAAGCTTAAAAAATTTGGGTTCCTCAGACCAAACAACAGATGGCATCCTGCATATGTTTCCCATGGTGTCTCTCCCTCTCTGTTTGAATGTTTATGTGTTTTGGGTTTAAGTCAATACAACTGACATTTATTTCTCTTTGTTTATAGAAACACTGTCCTGCTTTGTTACTGAGAACTCGTCATCCACCAGACTTGGCCGATCAATATGAAAAAGAGTTTGGTAGTATTGGACCTCTTCTTTGCACCAAAGTGTCACAGCTGCGGCAGAACATGAGCGCCATGAAGAAACCCTCCACATTAACTGTGCGCACAGTAACTGGTGTCTTGACCACTGGGATTACAACTCCCACTACACCTTCTACACCTGGAGCAAGTCCAGTTAAATTACTTACCCCAACTTCTGGTGGGACTTTCACAATCTCTTTACAACCTGGTTTGAAAGTTGGTCTACCTACCACCCCTAGGGATTCTAACCCTACCACTCCCACATCAGCAGGGACTGTAACACTACCAGGGTTACTACCAACAGGATTGACGAGCACAGGGATACCAAAGCCAACTACCCCCACTAGTAACACACCAACACCTGGTGGCCCTGTGACATAACAATTGGCTAAAACTCGCCTTTTAAAAATGTACGTATTTAACAAGTAACTGTACAAAATTATATCATCCAAAAAAACAAAACCCTGTCATGGTTGCAGGTACATTGTAGTTAGTTCAAAGTTTTTTTAGCCCCATATTTCAATCACTAGAAGTGCATATCATGTAATCTTTTGTAATAAATAGGTAAGAATGGAATGTAAACTGTGTCCTTCTGTATGTTTTAGTGAGTGTGAAATTTTTCAGTTCCTTTAGAATAATTACAAGCTAATTTTGGGCCAATTCAGTGAGTTTGAGAGAAGGACAATTTTTGTTTGAAAGTCAGTAGCTGAATTTCAAACAAGACACAGCTCCTGTCTTACTGTATGGTGACTGTGCTGAGTCTGGTAGCCTCCTCCAAGCCCTCGATCACAGAGAGTCACCCAGTCAATTGCACTTTGAACATGAAATTTGGGCTTACTGTGCTTCAGGGTTTAACATTGTTGTTAGTGACAATTATAATGCTACAAATTAAGGGCTGTTGCCTGGCTCATCTACTTTAAACTTTAAGGTCAGCTCTGTTTACTATGATAGGAAACAAACTGTGAATTTTACCTAAATTCTCTTTGTCATTTTTTCTTCCATTGCTCCTAAGTACCTCTTGGTGCAATTGAAGTTAGATGGAATCATTGTTTGTTAAATACATGGTGTAATGATTGACAATCATAAGACACTTAATGGTTAGCAATCTACACTTGTCCTCACAGAGGACTGTTTCACAACACACACAAACTCATTTTGTCTGATGTAAGTGGCCGATAGTCAGCACCTAACTAGGTACCCAGTATTTAACGTGAAGTATGTAACACAATTTACAACAACAACAAAAAATACAAAAACAAAACACAAAAAATAGACATACTGGAAGCAGGAGGCACACTATGATTGGTTAATTTTGGTAGGGTGGCTCATAAACAGTAGCAGAATGGTACTGGAAGGAAACTCCTAGGGAAAGTAATGGTAGTCTTACTCTGCCTCTACAACACACTACTGACCAAGGTCCCCTCTTATGAAAGACTAGAATACCTTGGAATTGTTGTCCCAAAGTATTCAGATCTTAACATTCTCTTCAAAATGGGCCTAGGTACATGAATGTTTGGAATTGATGAAGGAGAAATGAAGTGTTTGTTAAAGCTGTAGTCTTCCTCTGGCTTGAAGGTAGTTGCTGAGAGACTTCTCTCTCTTGTTGCTGATGGGATGTGAGCTCCAACTAAATGGCTTTTGTTAAACCGGGTTTTCGGTTCAGGCCAAGAAAATTCCCCTGTCAAAAGAAAATTATGATTTAAGTTGTCAAGTTAGAGTTAAAAAATGAGACAGCCCTTGCAATTTTGACCATTAATCTTACTTCATTGCCTGTACACCTCTGAAAATTTCTGAAGGTAAAAAATTGGTGGTAAATTTACCTGGGTGATAGTTTGATGATATTTATCAATCGTGGTTACCATAGGTACCCATAAAATATTTTAGTAGATCAATATTTCAGCTCGCGAGAGATTGATGTATTGAAGGATAGTTAGTCAATATTTTGGTCAGTAGTCTACACCATGTTCAGCCTGATGTTGACTGACACTTGATCTGCTTAATTGATGGTTTTTCAAAGTCTCTAAGTCATGACATCAGCCTTCCTTCACCTTGACTGACTCATTGACCACTGACCAACAATAGAATGAGTATCAGTTGAGTGTCAACCAAAATACTTATTGGTTGGAGCATGGCTTGTTTTTATGTTGATATGCCCTCTGACTCTTGACTCATACAGTGGCAGTCACTACATATACCACATGTGTTTCATATTCATACAAAATTTAGTCAGTTATGAGAGAGATGAAAAGACCTTGAATCATTGTTTTGATCCTGTCCAGATGCTTAGTGCTTATGACTTCAGGGTCAGAGTAACTCTTCACTGGGGTCACTGTGAAGGAAAAAAAGATCACAGTCAACCCAACTTGAAAGAACATTCCACTATTCAGGAAACATGTATGCATTTGAAACAAGCTCTAACAGACAGGTTCAGCATTATGAAAAGAAGTCTAAAAGTGAAGTGTGACTGCTATCCTTTACCTTCAGTTTTAGAAAAGAGAGTCTCATCAACAGATGAGGTCCTGGAAACTACCTTGAATGTATCATGTAACCTAAAAAGGGAAAATTAGACATGATAATCCTTTAAAAAACTATCTGAAAATTTTCACAGTTTTCTTCAAAAAGTGATCAGCAAGAAACAGATAAGATCACAGTCGAATGAAATAAATCATCTTTATTTCTATTTTATCCAATATTTTCCTTTGTAGCAAACATGTAAAATAATTTCCTTACATGAAAAATAGTAGCATTTTATTAGCACCTATATGCAGCTACTATGAGTTAGAGAGGTGGTGAGCACCACTGGCCTGTTTTTGAGTCTGCAATAGCTTCTGGTAATAACTTACTTTCTTTGACTTGGAATGAATCTGATGTTTCTTGCATGTGTGAATATTCCATGGCCATCTCTACAGTGAAAGTACTGGATCCCCTTGTACAGGCCGCTTGTATTACCAACTTGAGGAAAAACCAATCGAAAATACAATCATTACTTTCGCTACCAAAATAAATGCTGTTAATGCTAAGATGGGTATTTGTGGGTAAGCAGAATAAATGTCATTTCGATGATTGTTTTGCGCTATAAAGGACAGCAATCCAGGGTTACGACGATAGTTAAGTTGGGACTGTATTATGTCACTCAAAGCTATTGATTGGGTTGATTATAGAAGAGGAAACCATCATATTGCTGAAGAGGAAAAATGCACGATTACTCCAGGAAATGATGGTTTCGATGTGGATGATACGATTGCTTCATTTTTGGGACTAATAGTATCGTAGAAAGCGTTGGTTGTATGGTTTACGTAGAAAACACGAGGTACGTGAAATAATGAAGTGTGAAAGAATGTGTTAGTGATGTCGTACAGAATTGGCTATCTGTTAAACGAGCTTCTATGATAGATCACTTCGGCATGGAGGTTAAATGGATTATAATATGATGAACTTTCTGGCCAAGATCGAAGGGTTAATTAACACTACCTCTATTGTCTAGTTCAATGCCAACCCATTCGCCATCTTTCGCCACCAAGCTTCCCGCATATCGGATTGTCCCGTTTTCGATCTCTCCTCGCCATCTCACTTGCACACGAGCCCCAGAATTGATGTTATGAAAGAAAACCATGGATCTTCTTTCTACATTTTGTTTCCCTTGAATAAGACTTTTCTTCACTAGTGTTTGCAAAAATCCTTATTCGACCGACCTAGAAGAACCACAAACAAACCCAGTTGGCGGGAGAACCAGTCATATTCTATCCAACAACCTGATTGGTTTGCATTTGAAGAATAAAAGAATTTTGACCAATCAAAAGTGATGTAATATTTCGAAGCTGTTGCTATGGTAAACCCACAAATCTTAGCGACGGACCGTATATTAGCAACACGGCAGACATCTTGAATTCAAACAAGCTCCACGATAAAAGCAGGTTGGAGTTTGCTGTGATTAAACTACTATGGCTCTACCTTTCCTGCCAGGCCAAGTTTTTGATCGAAAGGTAAGCATTCAAATTATACAATGCCGTATATTTCTTGATATTTTACGACTGAGTTAAAACTTAAATCTAGTAAAATTTACTTGACTCAAATCTCTCTTACCAGATTGGGAAAAGCAAGTTTCACAAGTCACAATTATTTGATTACCGGAATGATGTATCATCCTTTGTAGGTGAAGATAAAAGTGGAATTGGTAAGTTTTAAAAATACGTTTACTTCCTTGAAGTTTACATCTCTTCTATTTAAGATCAAAACGTTGAGAGGTAACTGTAACTGTTCTAACCCAAACACATAGTTGAAGACTTGACGCATTTACTTAGCTGTTTTGTTTCCATTTTATCAGGAGGAGATCCTTTACCAGGACAAAAGTTAAAACCGAGACACAGTGGTTATCCAAAGGGTATTGGTGGAGAGGCACCCGCCTGGGTTGCATTTGACAGACAGGTAAGAAATTCGTCAGTCAATTTGGCTAAATTCAGAAATTTTTACCGCAAATGCTTCTGCGGTTTAATCGTGAAAAAAATGTACCCTGACGTTCAAAAAATGGTTTGTGGAAGAACTGCGAAGACAGATATCGATCTTTAGCAGTTTAAGAGAAACCAGGGGTATTTTTTTGTTCATAAAAACTGTGGTTTGCATGAATGTTGAGAAGCAAAACGGAGTCAACCCTACAGTTTTTGTTTGTTTAAGAGAAACCAGGGGTATTTTTTTGTTCATGAAAACTGTGGTTTGCATGAATGTTGAGAAGCAAAACGGAGTCAACCCTACAGTTTTGTTTTAATTAAAACAAGTGAGATATCTACTTACTGGGTTTAAGTAAAATATACAACAATCTGGGGATACAACACAATTTGCATTCATTTCTAGCAAAAGAGTAAGATGTATAGTACCTTAACCTTTCAACTCCCAGTAGTGATTGAAATGGTACTTCTCCCTATAATTTTGATACATTATCCTGCTAAAGGTCATGAGAGCAGAAAATTTTATCAGCTGGAGGTTGTTATCTTGACTAATCAACAGATTCTTCTCACTAATTTTCAAGGAATATATAGCAGCTAGAGGGGAGAATTTGATTTAAATCTTGGGAGAAAATGTATGAAAAGTATGGGAGCACTGAAAAGTATTTGATCTACACTCCAGAATGTCAACACGCTTGTGGGCCTTTCTTGATAGATTAAGTGATATATGTATGCAGCGAGTGTTGTTTTTCAAACAGATACAATAGAGGCCAACTGTAATAAAAAATTGGAAATGTAAAACACTCCACTGACTGCTATGAACCAGAGACCAATAAGAAACAAGGTTACCCATGAAGATGGTGTTTGATGTCTAATTACTTGTTTAATTGTGAAATACAGGTTTTGTGCTTTGATGCTTATTTCCAAGAAGCAGTACATGAGAAAAGAGAGGAGCAATACAGGATTAGAAGGTATCAAACTATATTTTAGTCTTGTTTCATTCCTTATTTGCCTTACCAGTTAGAATAAATAAAAACATCTGGCAGTCTTATCTTGGTTTTGGTTGCAAAGCAAAGGAAATGTAGTGTCACTTTCTGTAAAGCTTTAAATTTGTCATGCACCATTATTACTAATATTATATTCTTTTGCATTATGAATTGCTTGATTAAAATCTTGATAAGATTTTAACTGTGTTATCTTAGATATTTCTTTGACCTCTCAAATATTGTATCTTTTTCATGTTAGATGCAAAATTTACTTTTATTTGGAGGATGACAGTATCCAAGTGATTGAGCCAAAAGTTGAAAACAGTGGGATTCCACAAGGTTTGTCATTTTTTTTTGACTGGAATGTGAGAAATGAGTTGTGATTACTTTTAAAAAGAATGTTGACTTGATTTTTGTCATTTTTATTCTTAAAAGGAACATTGATTCGTCGTCATCGCATTCCACTACCTTCGCCTAATGATGAAGAGTTTTACACAGTGGAGAACTTTAATGTTGGTCAGGAAATCACGCTTTACTCCCGCACATTTAAGATCACTGTGAGTATATCAAGATATCACTGAAAATACCACTTCCAGCATTGTGATTAAAACAAGTCATTTTCTTTATGAACTGGTCATAATCCCCTCTCTTGTTTCAACCCTTCATCTCCCATGGGCCGCAAGTACAAAATCAAGCTGACAAGTGATAAGGGTAAAAAAAAATATCATTTAAGGGATTATTAGTTGATCCAATACAAAGTTTTAAAACTAACATCATCAGATTTGTGTGGCAGACAATAAGGATTGTGAGAGGGTTAAAATGGAAATTTTGGGTGTCTGTCCATCTTCATAATCGTAGCTATGATTGAGATGGAAAAAAGCCAGACAAAGTATATCTTTGCAGTCCTAGATGTACACTGACCTCAGTACAGATGTTGAAACAATTTTCACTTTTGATATACTCAAATTGAGTTTGCTATATGTGTTATTATTGTTTTCAGGGATGTGATGATTTTACTCATAATTTTCTCCGTAAACTTGGAGTCAGGATACGCAACCCAGAAAACATTCCAACAGATCCATATACAGACCACCGCAAAAAGGTTTGTTTTTAGTCTGACTTAAACTGGGGTATGCCATATAAACATGCTCTCGTACAAATACCTTATCTTTGATTCTCCACTGTAATAGGCTTGTTGTATCAAAATAAACCTAATCTTTGGTGTTACTGTATATTTTCCAGCTGGTGGAGAGCATGCAGCCATTACGTCCTTATGAGAAAGAGGACACTCTCAAGCAGTTTCTTCAGTTTGATCGCAACGTGTTGCGATTCTTCTGTGTTTGGGATGACAGTGACAGGTTAGTTTTCCCTAAGATTCTCTGTGCATTGGGGTTGTGCTTATGGCATAGATAGTGATATTGTTATGTTGGAAACATTTAGCAAGTATCCAATTTTTTTCCTCACTTTATTCTAGTATGTTTGGTGATGCACGTGAGATGGAGATGCATTATTTCCTTGCTGATGACACTGTAGAGATCTGTGAGCGTATTCCAAACAACAGCGGTAGAGATGCAGTGCCCATGTTCCTCAGAAGACAAAGGCTACCAAAGGTATTTGTCAAGAATTAGTCCAGAGTACTACATATATTATAGTTAACACTTATAGGTATGCTTGCATTGCATAGTTGTCTGACTAGTTTTGTAATTAAATGGTTATTGTTTCTTTCCAGGAGCCTACATCATTGCGGCAACCAGGGGAGATTACAGGCAGAACAGTGCTGAATGTTTTTGGTCCCATGGGACATGGCGGGAGATGGATTTTGGACAGCCTTAAGGTTAGTTTACTTGAAACAAGTCAGACAATTGATAATACAAAGTGCATGACTCAGAAAAAAATTGTCTTGTCTTCTACTACCCTCCCAAGTCCTTTCCTTGTTGATCCCTTGTGAGGGGAGATGGCCTTGCCTAAGAACAGTCGGTTACTTCATCTAATGCAATGTAGCCCTTTATTTACAGAAGAGATTAACATGTTACTTCTCCATGATATCTATGCATTATCCAGGTAATGAGAATACTCAAAGTTGTCAAGTAGAAGCTGCTCTCTTGATGAAATACCAAAACCTTGTAACTAAATTAAAAGGAAATGTGTTGCAGCTAGAGGGGGAAATCAGCAAACAGATCTTGTTAAAGGTTAACAGACAACCTTGAAGAGTTTTTCTCTCAGAATAATCACCAGGTACCTTAAGGCTCATTTCTTTCAAGTATAGAGTAGTGCCTGATGAATGATGTACCTGTTTTTAATTTTTCAGACTGGTGCAGTGTATACAGATTACTATCAGGACAATGATCTCACCATAGGCAGTGTTATTAATGTGTGGGGCCGGAAATTCCGTATCTGTGACTGTGATGAGTTCACCAAAGAGTATTACAAGTCAAAATATGGACTACGTAAGAGATCATGAGTTTTGTATTTAGTTTTTTGGCATTTTATTTTAATTAGTGTAATACAGGAAGCTTTTCTTTTTGGAGTGAAAGCAGGAAATTTATATTTCTTGTTGTCGTTTTGTGATCTTTTACTTCTTAGTGCAAAAGGAACAGAACATTGGTTAATTTTCTCATGTTTTTTTGTCTGCAGAGGAATTTGAAAGTATCAACTTTAAAGCCGACCCAGAGCCCCTGGCACCCCGAGAGATCCCCCCATATAACGGATTTGGTTCTGAGGAAGACTCGCTGGCTACTTGTCTCAGTCTCAGACCCAAGCCCACTCGGAGAGATTTCAAGAAGTTCATGGAAAAAGACAGGTAAGCGAAAAGTGTTGTAGTGATTAAGTTGTTGTATGTAAAACACAGGTATCAAACGTCTGAGAACATTGAAGCTGCCCCAAAAACTAGCCAAAATGTTGTAAGAACAGCAACAGCAAAAAAAAAAGCTTACGAAAGCCATTGGAAAGTTTGACTATTTTGTTGAAGTTCTGAGCAGAACAGTAAATCAACAGAATATCCGTGATAAAATTATTTTAGCGCTCGAAAAGTCTCAAGTTTTCCTTTTGTGTATTTTTGTGTCCTATTACAGGTTTCATAGAACGTTTCAATATATTTTGTGTTTTCGTCAATTGTGTGTGACACCGTGCTTGATACTTACGTGATCGCCTTGCGCGGGGAATTGGCGCGCAGCCGACCATACTTGATCCATTTGCTCATGCCCAACACATAGACTTCTTTCATCTCTGAAATTAGTTTTGTACGCGGTGAGAAAGCGATCTGGCCACATTTCAAGCCAGCTTTCGTCTCTCATAGATACAAGTGAATTCAAGCTGTGAATCTGAACACGAAATATTCAACCTACTTTGATGATGCTATAAAATTAATTTAACTCAACGGCTTGACTCTGTGAGTTGGTAGCGGCGATTCTATGGAAGAAAGTGTTTATTCTCAACAATGAAATTACAATATTGACATCTATAACGCTTAATTTTTATATATTTAACACGCATTGTCTGTTTTTTTTTTCAGACATGGTTTGGAAAGTAATGTTCTTCGATTTGTTGCGCGTCTGGACACGACGCGTCCCATTGACATGGACAGAAGGTGAGTTTAACAACTCCAATACAGTGCTTTGAAGAGAATACAGTTATGGATAGGATAACGCTTGGGTTACTTTTTAAATGTTTCCCAAGAACATTGCCAGGTTTGAGTACTTAGACGAGGCTTTTTTGAGTAATGTCATTCAAAGCTGGTTCTAAACTTTTATTGCGGCACATTTGGTACAGATAATCCTATTTGTTTCATTACTCGTCTTGAATTAACCAAGGGAGGAGAATAAGGTCATACTATACATTTTGGTTATTAGAAGGAGCGATTTTTGAAGGGAGGTGCCCATTCAGGATTTACGGTACTAGGGACCTTAAGCAGTTATGACGGCATGCCGATGGAATTATTTATTTAAGTATGAATCCATATTTTTAGCGAGAGTTGCGCGAATAGCAAGATGCGTTTACTATCTCTAACGGGACCACGCTTCAACTTCAGATTAACGTTTGTGAGCAGCGTTGAGTTTAATAGGAAACTTCAATAATTTGCCATTTGGGGTTTAATTCCTCAGACTACGCGAATGTCGGTGATTTGACGTTGTTGTTTTGCAAAGAGAGAGGCTAAGAAATGTACAAAGCTTCAAAACGCACGTGCTGAGCCATTGATGTGCTCATTAACTCTTTTGTTTTGCCACGTTCTCGTTGCTGTTGCTATCGTGCTTGCTTAAGGTCCCAACTCTCCCTGTAGAACGGTGGTGAGATTGAAGTGACGGTAATGAAGAAGTACCAGAATTTTACATCCTTAGTATTAAGATTGCTTGTCATTCCTTTTAGGTTCATCATCTCTTACTTTCTGTCTGATGACACAATTCTTGTGTTTGAGCCACCCCAGAGGAACTCTGGGATACTCGGCGGCAAGTTCCTGGAGCGAGGACGAATTAAGAAACCGGATGGTGTCAATTATTTTATCGCTCAAGTTAGTGATCTGTCCTACTTAGATTGTTTTGTGAATGCACACTGTTAGCAAATCCTAATATCGTCACCTACACCAGCATGTCCCTTAAATAGCCAAATTTTGCACTGTTTGCGCTGTTTGCGCTGTTTTCTGATTAACAACCAGCATCGGAAATTGTTCGGATCCATCACGAAGATTGTTCGAAAACCTTTCGGAATATTCAAGAGTGTTCGTTTTGTATGCTTATTGGCCTCTAAGCGTCAAAAACTCTCGAGAGTTCCAACGGAGATTTTGTTGGATACGGCACATGTCCAGCGTAACGAGGGAAGGCTCTGACTTTGAAGGAAATGTAAGTTGAAAGATGAAGCGAATACAGCTTTTCATTGCATGTTTATACGGTATTCGAATAGTTTCATGTCCCATTTAACGATAGCATTTGTATTTTCTTTTCATTGCAGGATTTATACATCGGTGCTGATGTGGCGTTCCACAACTTCCAGTTTATTCTGATTGACGCGGATGAATATGCCGTGAATTACATGGAAAAACACTCCGCAGACTTTCCCCAGGCCAACATTCAATTTATTCTTCCAAAACTGAAGCGAATTCTGGAACAAAAATACGAAGAAATTAAAGCCGACTTCCAGCAACACGATCCTGGTAACGAGGGAAGAATCCCTGGCGATATTTTCAGGTGAGTTGCAAAGCGTGTAATCTGGTATTACTTAACACAAATGTATACCCTCCCCCCCCTCTTTCCTCCTCTTCCCCCCCCCTCCCCATTCGGGTGCCATGCCAGACCCCACCTGTCCCGGAATTCGTACTCTCTTCCCTTACCCAAAAAGCTGTCATATGCGTAAGATCCGAACCCCCCCCCCCCCCCCCCCCCCCGCCAAGAATTTATGTTGGGAATTGTCAATATTCAATGTCCTTATTTTGTTGGAGGTGAATCCATGTTGAGGAGGGATTTGAATTTGAGACGACAAAGAAGGATGGCTCAATCAGAACGTAGATATTCTGGGTTTATTTTGGGGAAGTTGAAGAAACTCTTAAAAGTTCCTCTTTTCTTTACAGGGGAATCTTACAGAAGTTCGGGCAAAATCTCTTGACTGTCCACGAGCAATTAACTGTGTCCAGATACTTTGGTGCCTTGACGGTGAGTTTGGAGCTCTCTACTTCGTCAGATAAGAACTATACTTGTATTGATCAAACGTGAGGCTTACATGGCTTTGTTAGTTTGGACTGAAATAAAGCAGTGGTTCATTACAGTGATTTAAACATGAATGGGGCTTATATCCAGTATTAGGATTTTAAAGAAAACCACGCCAGCATTTTTTAGCACGGAAACCTCGACAGCAATTTAGGGCCCTTTCTCTTTGAACTGTACACGAACTCCCACTTGTTATGCCGACGTAAAGATGTCGTACCGCTAGAAACGATAAACGCATTTATCTCGTAGCAAAATTGTTAGGAGGAAAGACAGTTCGGTTTTTTTTTTCGACGACGTTTTCCAGTGGTTGCCGTAGTGACACCTTAAAATCCCAATCATATCCTCGGTGACCACAGCTTAGCTATATTGGTAAAAAGAAAGCCTGAGAAAAAATTTGGGTGTGCAACAATAGAGGCCTATCCCATACACAAGGTTAATCTTGTCTCTCCCACTCGCTGAAGTACGAGAACGGCTTATTTGATTTTTTTGTTGTTGTTAGTTTTCTGTCACTGATTTCATGGTGTTTGTGTAACAAGTGTTTGACACATTTTCTTTGTGCTTCAGGAGAAAGAAGATGATTTGCAAATATTGGTAGTGGCAGTTCAAGAACAGCTTAGAAAAGCTAACTTTGAAGATTTCTCCAACATGATGGATGCATGTAGACACGAGGATGTCCTTGGGTGAGGATACGAACCAAGATGTTTTGTTTATTGCTGTTCTATCAAATTCGTACTCGTTTGCTACTACAATTTATGAAAACCGTAACCGTTGTAAATGAAATCTTTCCTTCTGAGATGGAAATGATCATTAGATTCAAAACCTAAAATAAGCTTTTGTATTTATCGGTGAAGGGTGTGTTATCCATTGATTTTATTTTGAAATTGTTGTTTAGATCAATCTAATTCCATTGTTGTTTTTTCAGAACTGGATTCCTTCCCATTCAAGAACTCCACAACGCATGCAAAAGGTTTAACGTGCCCGCCAAGTCGGATTTACTCCAAGCCATTTTGGAAAGAGTTGAACGAAACGACAAGAACGAAGGGAACTATGAACACTTCCTAAAACTACTTAACTGGAGGGACTCTCCAGGTGGGAAAATAGCTTTGCTTCCTCGGGAAGGGTTGGGGCGAGAGTCACGTGGTAATAAAAGAGGGTGAAAATAGGAAATATTATAGCTGATCATGGAGGACTGAATTGGACTGCAAATTCTTTGCCAGTGACTTCTTGTTAGCGTTTTCCAAGATTTGTAGCAATTAAAACTCATTCCTAAAACTGTTCATTGTCTTAGTAAACCTCTTTTTTTTTCATTTCTACAGTCACAACCCAGAAGTTTGTCCCAGCCGCAGCTCCAGATCCCAAGTCAATGGTAAGATAGTAACATTTTAAGATATTAGGATGTGTGTGAGAGGAGGGGAAATGTTAGAAGAAAACGGAAGATGTTATATGCTAGTTTCTAGTACTGTTTGTTTCATGACTGAAAAGTTGTTTTTTAAAAATGCATTTGAAAATGTTCGCTCTTCTTGTGTATTGGAAGCTTAATGATGTATTGACTGAGGAAGCTACCATCTGAAAGGAGTTATATAAACGTACAGCAGGAGAATGATTCTGTGTGGTTTTTTTAATGGTATTAATATCTGCTTTTTACTTTGATTGTTTAGCAGCGGGTTGGTCCGCAGGAATTTGTATGTTTAGTCAGCTACAAGGATCTTTTACAAAATCTTCTTGAGGTGGACTAAGCTTGCATCACAGAGGATATTATTCTGCCTTTACAAGGAATTCTTCACCCTATTAGTTGGAAGATTGTATAACCCTAAAAAATTGTCATGCAGGACTCTATAGTTTGCCGGATTGCAATAAACTGTTATTTTTTCACCGAAGAGTAGAAGAAAACCGAATGGAGATGTTCCTTTATTTTAATTGTACATAAACTGGTTGTATTGTTATGATGGAGTTCTGAGCTTTGTAAGTATTCAAATGGTAATAAAAGTTATCATAACAGGCATCGTGGTACAACCCTGTGCATAAGGAAGTTTATTTGCTGTACATGTGACGGAAACATCTGAACTAAAATTAAATGCAAACAATTACATAAATTGTCGTTATCTTCAAACCCAACACAACCAATGCATTAGAACTCAAAGTGTGCGTGCAAGAAAAAATGAGAAATCTTTTACTACTGTTCGTGTCCGAAATACGTATAATGCATTACATGCTTTCCGTTCAACTGCTTGTAAACAAGAATATTGCATTTTATTGTTAACATTGTCACAAATAACCCCCACTAACTTTTCTGTGACCAACTTGCACCAGAAACATATGCTTAAACATGGCCATATGCTTCTGCCTATACATATTGGTACGCTTATATGTAGTTCCTCCTCTACTGGTAACTTTTCCTTCGAAAGTGTGACGCAACAATGGAAAAGAGAGCAATACAATATGGGTAGGGTTGGAGAAGAGCAAAGTTTCATTCGTGGGGAGGGGTGGGGGAAAGCAAAATTTGATTTGAAATGCGCGAGAGTGAGAAGGACACTTGTCTTCTCAGAGTTTGTCAGCGACTTCGGGAAATATTTTTAGCGACGTTTTTACTCGTAAGATAACGTGCAAAGTAGAATTCATAGCAGTTGCTTGTTAATATGAGTCATCATATGGCTTTTCTGCGCGGAGGACTGGGTGAAACGTTTTCCGCAGTACTTGCATTCAAATGGCTTTTCACCTGTGTGGATCCTTTCATGAGAAGAAAGGTTCCCGGATTGAGCGAATTGTTTCGAACAGAACCGGCACTGGAAAGGTTTCTCGCCAGTATGAATCCGCATATGAACCTGAAAATAGGAAAAACATTAGTTTACGGTACCGAGTATATTCTGTCATGAACAAACCCGTTGGCAAGTGTGTGAGAGGTTCCTTGATTTTCTAAGTAGTTGAACCAAGCAGAAACAATCGTCCAGTACCAAGCGCGGGAAAATGTCAACCGTGCCAGCCACAGAAGGCATACTCTGTCTAGGGCAAGTGTAAGTTCTAAAATAAACATTTACCTTTAAAGTGCCTGATCTGGAAAAAGTTTTTGAGCAGAGAGTGCACTGGAACCGAACGAGCACCTTTCCAGCCATCTTTGATGTGTTGGCGACAGCTTGATTCTGAGAAAGGTAACCAAGCCTTACCATGCTCGGAAAAGGAGTAGACTTGGGATTCGTCACGGCCCGAGCGGAGGCTTGGGGAGAGTCTGGTTTCTCCCTCTTCACCCGAACTGAGGAAGTGCCCGGATCAGCAGTTGCAATAGGGACGTCAAAGACTACCTTATCTTTATCCGCTGGATTGTGTTTACTTGTATGGTTTGCTTGTTTAAAGGCAATTCTGAGGAAAGTGAAATTGTTATGACAACGCGATGCTTAAACTGACTAATGGCATTAAGTTACATTTACTAAAATTAAATTGGGTTATAAAGGAACTGCTTTAAGAGCAAATGAGAAGAGAAAACTCACCGTTCTGTTTTAGGTTTAAAGAAGTGTCCATTGTAGCAATAAAAAGGCAAATTTCCCGTGACACTGCCCTCTGTTATGTTGTAAGGTTGTATTATCATCAACTCCGGTGGCAAGTGTCCATACAAGAATCGTGTGGTGTCACACGGGTAGAAGATTGGACGATTCACTTTGGATTCCAAATATGAACAATCCATGCTAGGGGCTGAACACAAAACGAGACGCATAGATTAGTAAAGGGAAGAGGCCTCGGTTCTATCTTAACACCAGCATATGAAAATGTATTATTTACACCAAAATGAAGCATTACGCTCCTTATTCGTGTCGAGTAAAATTTTCTTCGTTTTCGGAATCGTGGTTTGCAAAACAATTTTGATTTTATGTGATTTCTCTTTATGTTTTTGTTCTAGATCATTTCAACAGATCTCCATGTGATCAGCATTCCACACACACACACACACACGTTCAGATTACAAAGTCCCCTTGAGGCTTTTACGCCGCGATGACGATGAAGATGTTGAGTTTTGACCAAGTGATGGTCATACAATTTAGAGGCACGCCATTCATGTCAGTGACGAAAGGTCATAGATTCGATTCTAGCTTCTCAGCTGGGGGAACACCGAATTTTTATTTTCCGAGTACGTGCTTGTGACTTTAACTAAAATGTTAATTTTCCATTTTTAAAACGGGCAAAAAAAAAATCTTGGATTATTAAGGCATTTCTTTACATACCTCGTCTCTTTGTTGGTGGTCGAAATCCAACCTTGCGATTCATCTCTACAAATTAAAAGAAGAGCGTTGTTTTTTTCAACTGTGCGAGCTGAATGGAACGTCAGAATTAATATCTTACAAAGCGAACTTCCTTATTCCCTAGAAAACAGCAAGAATGGGAAATACAGGCTGATTTGAAAAGCCAATGAGAGGAAAGCGGCATAGTTTGATGAGATTTGAAAGTTCTTTTTATTGAATTGCTACTAGCCTGAAAGACTTTTGCCGAAAAAAACAGCTTTAAGACGATCACGTACAACTCTGTATAATGTATTAAGGGGAGTGATGTGTGTTGTTGCTATGGTAATTCTAAAACAACAGAGGGCAGTCAGCTGGTTTGTTATTTGTCTCTCTGGTAACAATGACGTTACTAGTAAATAATTAGGGCCGCCCAGTTGACCTTGGTACCATTTTGATGTCATCTCTCTAAATATTGCTATTATTATCATATTTTATCATCATTATCATCATTATTATTATTATTATTTCCAAAGTTGTTATCATATGAAGTATCATTTTTACTCGTATCATTATCATTAACGGGGTCTAGGGATTTCTTAATCTGTCGTTGTGAAGTGTGCTTGGTTCTTGCTTTCTATATTTAGATTCAATCATTGATGATGACCTGACTGTTTTCACTCGCTCGCACAGCACGTCAGTTTCTTAAAATAAAAAAGGTGCGACTTCTGCACTTCAACACAAACTCAACTGTAAACTACTGACACTCCAGAAGACGAGCGCCATTGACACCCAACGCTACTATCGACTAAGGTGCTCAGTACCACAGCCACCGGCACCCTACAAATTAAAGTTCCTATTCACGAAATTAACACTACAAACGAACCGAACAGAACGACCTAACTTTAACAACGGATCGAAAAGGACCAATCCCGAGCGACTTACGCATATTGAGTCTTACAACCGATAATATTACGGCAAAACGGACTAATCAGTTTGTACGAACCGAAATTAGAACATTCGGTTGACGACAACTATTCACTTGATGATGACTTCCGCTCAGGTTTTTGAAACGTCAGTCACCACTACCGACACCAGTCCTTCTCAGGACTACACTCATCGGACGATCAGATTACACCATCACATGTTAACCTCAGGTACCACGTGAAGAAAACCATGCACTGAAAAAATAAATAAATAAAAGAACCTTACTTTACCATAGGTATTTTATTTTTACCATACATAAATCTTCACACCTTAGCTGTATTTATATCTCAAACACTTGGTGCTTTCTAGATTTTATTATTTTAGCCGATTGCAATGAGACCAGCTATGAAATGTCATGGTAACTAAACCATACCGTATGAATCGCAATTGAATAGTTTCCGCGTTGCTATAGCGATAGCATAACAAGACTAAACGTTACGCACTTTTCCATTTCCATGGCTACTGTTTATAAATTCCTTGAGATGTATTTTACCCTTTAGTTGAGTATAAATATTCGCTTAGCTTTAATTCCTCCCGAAGAGGGCTGGCTGAGACTAGTATGTGAGACCATTTTTTTTACCTGACGATTTCTGAAGAAATGGACGTGAGAGAATCGACGGAAGAGGTAATCTTCAGTGCCTTAGGTCTTATGTTTTGTCGGTTAAAATCTTGAATATTTTCCAGCATGTTCCTAAAAGAAAACTAAATCTAGAAGAAATATATTTTTTTATTTATTTTCTAATTGTGTAAAGGATTCAAATCAATTTGTGGAAGCAACCGTCGAGGACATATCGAACACGTGCAGTACACTTTCTGGGAGGAGTTACTTGGTTGATCCCCTAACCACTGCTGCTATTGATTCCTGTCAGAATTTTTGGTCGACAAATTCAACTACTTCGCAGAAGCCTCTAAATACGACACGCCGGCATTTCAGTAAAAATGACAGGTAGGACACTGAGATGTGATAATCATTAGAGACCATGATCAAAGCTTGAACACACCTACGAGAACGTAGTGAAACAACAAATCTTATGAGCAACAGAACGCCCCTGCACGTGCATCTTAAGATTTTATACATTTTAGTGCTAATAATATACATAGAAAATTACTCAGTACTGATTGGTTAAGATAAAAGCAGTTTTCAGGTAATTCAATGCAGAAGAGGGTTAATTCAGTGCAAAGAAGTAACAAATCAGACATTTTGATTGGTCAATCAAAGAAACTCACTGATAGCCAATCAAATGCGAGCTTGGATGTGGCAACATTTGGATACGCAGAACGCACGGTTTGAATAAATTATTTTTGCACTTGATGCGCACTCTTTGCTTCTGCATAATTATAATAAGCTATCTCGTATTTTTTCATGTATACTATTAATACGTAATCACATTATTTCCTCGTGCAATATGGAATAAATAAGCACTTGAAAATTTTTCAAAGACCACAAATTGCACTCGCCTTGCGGGCTTGTGCAATGTTGTTGGTCTTTGAAAAAAATTGCTTGTGCTTATTTATTCCAAATTGCACTCGAAATCGTGTGATTACCTATACAAACAAAAACATGGGAATAGTGCAATGATGAGTCCGCTCACATTCCTACCCGCTCTGGTCCAGGTTCTGGACCTGATGTCACGTGTAAGTTAAGATGGTTCTCGTTGCTCCTCCGGTTTTCCGCCCCCCACAAAAACTAACATTCGAAATTAAAGTTCGACCTGGAAACAGAGGACAAGAGAAGCTGCTTCGTGGAATGCCCACTGCAAAATTTTCTTCCCGTTCCCAAATTATGTGTAGTGAAACTGAGACGGAAAAATATTCTCGTTCTACATGAAACTAAATTTTAAACCTGCCTTCACTTGTTATGGCTAGGCAAAGAGTAGCCTCGTTTGGGAAGTTGACGCGTCAAACCTTTCGCAGAATTCATAACGTGAATGTCGATTACAGTTTGAACGAGTCATTCCTGAACCCCGCCTTCGTAAATGATCAAATTCCCTTTTGATCTCTGGCATCTTAAAGACAGTATCCTCATTATGTTGTATTAACAGATATGCTCAACATCAATATCATCATGGCAGACTTGAAGAGATAAATGACTGTAATGACCCCTCGTCGTGCAGTCGGCGACCGAAACGGGAAAGTGTAATAAGATTTCCAAATAAGGATCCGATGATTTCACACGAGACAGCTATTGTCTGTTCAGTGATGACGCAGCAACATAAAGAAAAAGATACGTACATGCCTAAAGATTTTGAATCAAAGAAGACACAAAAACAACGAATGCAGTGTCCTGTGTGTTTGAAAACATACGCCAGGCCAGGAACGCTAAAGGTAACATTCCTAACCTTTAATTTTCGTGAATGATCAAGAGAGAATTTCTCCGTACAATATCAGTATAATATCAAGCAGACAGGTGATGAGAAAATACATCAAATATCGATTTTTAGATTGTTAGGTGATCCAATACCCAATTCTGTAAACTCACATCATAAGAATTGTATGACAGACAGTAAGGAGAATTACTAAGGTCATCTTGGGAGTAAAGGGTTAAATTTGTAATAATCATGGATTGCTGAAGTGAGTTCGATCTTAAGAATGGATATTTTAAAATTTTATCAAATGGTTTCAATTTATCTACTTTCTTCTCATGGCGTCCATGATAAAGCTATAATAAAGCCTTAGAAGTGTTCAGAAAAAATTTGATTTTATTTCTGTCATCAAGTGTCGAATGTGTTTATTGTTTAGATTCACTTACGGGTTCACAACGGTGAAAAGCCATATAAATGCCCACAATGCTCCAAGGCCTTCACTCAATCCGGGAACCTTGCAGTACACATGCGCATTCACACCGGAGAAAAGCCTTTCGCCTGCAGTGAGTGTGGTCGGCGGTTTACTCAAAAGTCAAGTAGAAACAATCATATGAAACTTCATGAGAGGAGTCGTGCAATAAAGATGAGTTTGTCTGTGATAGATATGGCTCGGACGAAAACATTTATACATAAAGCAGGGGAGTAAGTCGGTTTTAAATCCTAAGGAGCAAAATGTGTTGATTAATCAGAAGAGGAGAGGTTAAGCTAATGTTGCTTCAGATCACACATAAGATACTTCTGTAGCTTGGCTCCTCTTTAAAAGACGCTTTGTAAAACAGCACAATAAAATACATGGGAAACACTCTCCTTTGTATCAATCACAACAAGATCATCTGATATGTAGGCTCTCGTCGGCTTAGATTAGACGATGTACTGTAAGATTAGACAGAATCATGATTAATTTTATCATATTTGTAAAAATTTGCACCAATTACGTGTCGGGTATTTAAAGGTACGATCGAAATTTTTTTTAATATCTTTGCCTCTGATTCGTAGGACATACAAATATATACGTACACGTTACGGTACTAATGACAGATGTTAAGATCGATATGATTATAATTTAAGGGTACAACAATTTGTTTTATAACAATTGCACATATAGGTCATAATTTCCAGCAATAAACTGTTAGCAAGCCTCGCATTTTTTATTTCCCTTGTCATCGGAAAGGTCAGCGGGAGCGTTATAGTTAAAATGTAGCACTGGTTGGTGTATTATTTAAGAAGATATGAAACTTAGAATGACAACTTTTAGGACAAGATGGTTGATTGATAACCATTGTAGTAATATCCATTGATATTAAAATGATAAAGACATGGAAGTATGAAAACGGTGTAAAAGATGGTTACTCTGTTTACAACACATACATGTCACAAATTTTATCTTCCACACGTCCTAACTGGCTGTTTTTATACTAGAGGACCCAATATCCTTATTGAAGGATAATGTATCTCTCGCGCTCTGCGTCTAGTGTGAAGACAGGACGATGGACAAGTTTAACTAGAAGAGACCAGCACACGGGGAGGGTAAAATTTAAGATGACGCCTCGTTGAAAACTGCAAAACAGACTGGCAGTTCTCCTGTTTAAGAAAAGCTGAAGAGGAGTTATCAAAGCGTGCATGCAAAAAAAGAGGGAGGAAATGGTAAAGAAACGTTTTCTTAGAGAGATGAACTTCGAAAGCGAAGCCTCAGAACCCGCTCTTATGTCAACAATCGTTTTCCTCGTCTGCCAGGGGGAAGGCAAAGTACTTGAGGTTTGTTTCTGTTCAGAGCCGATTTCTCAGTCCAAGTTACTTTTACATCTGCCATGTAGTTTTCTTTGGCGTACAGCCGCTGGCCATTTTATAACACGGTCTCATTTTTAACGTACCTCGTCTGTTGCTCGTCTTGAGACACAGCGGCGTCACATGTCCTGACGTATTATCTTTCTTGAGGTGCATTTAATATGCAGTACGAAGGATAATTTGTCTCGATGCGTTATATGTCTTGTGCCCGTCATAATACAAATGACGCATAACCAGATGTTTGCCTAAGTTCAGTCAGACAGATGATGTGTCTTCGGCATGAATACGTCCATTTGCGTTTTTAGACGCATGACACTTTTTAAGAGTGACTTACTATAAAGGACTGCTCGAATAGAGCGGAAATTAGCGGTCAACCCTTTCTTCTCATCAAATTAAGGACGTAAAATTTATGCTCTTGTTATTCAAGAAAAAAAGGGGTGAAATCGTGCGGCTCTCTCTCAAATTTACAGAATAAAAATATGAAGTATTTTCCCACTAACGCAAGAACGTGAAAAAGCAAAGGTACGATAGAAACTTAGAACGAATCGTTGAACAATGGGGAAAATATTTTAAAAGCAACAAGGAATGTGAAGTCTGAATCGAGAAAACAATTATGAAAAACGCTCTGAGACACAGCAAGCTGTGAAAGCGTTCAACAAAATCTCCAATCTTTGATCAACGGATGTGAATATCAAAAATAAATCGTAAGTGTTTTTCAGCCATTTTGGTAAGAATTTATATGATTTTTCAGTGCAAATAGCAACAAGTCATGGATGCCGCAGTACTGCTGGTTGATTTGCCTTCGTTACTACTTGTTATTTTTTGAGTCGTTTGCGTTATCTTGACGTTATTATCTTTATTTTGATTTTTGTTTTTATTTTTTATTGAGTCCCTTGCGTCTTACCTCACTGTCGGTGTTACTTTGTAGTCTGGGCAAGCTTTTTTTCACGTGCGACGAATGCCGTTTCCTGATTGGCCATGATGTTGGGGCTGAGTAAGATTCCTTATTCACATGTTTGTTCACGTTTTCAGAAAATTGAATCAACCAATGAAAAAGCTTGTCATAAAAATGTTATATCATCTGTTGGAATCACGAGGCAGGGTCACTGCGTCAGCCAATGAGATCTCAGCCTTATTGCAAAATGTGTCTTATTCTGACCTCAGTTCTTCGCTGTTCTGCACGCAATGATTCTCACCGTGTAAACTACCTCTGGGTTGTTTGTTCATTTCAGTATCATTCCCGCTCCTGATTACCACAAGATATGGAGGAATATCAAGGTATTGCAGCGTTTGATATGTATTTCTGTTTAAGGCATAATGCATCCAACTCGTTTTTTAAGTTTAAATCAAACCTTATTTACGGGATAAATATTGAAAAAACGTTATTCGGCTCTCTCTTTTCTTCCACAGTTTGGTAAATTCCTTCGGTCATGCACGAAACAAAATCAGATCGCTGTTGTTGAGTGTGGAAATAAAATAACTGTAAAGAAGGATTTTTATCTTGAATCAGCTAAGATCGTTAGCTTGTTTGGTAGCGCACCTATGGTTTGTTAGAGTGGACCGTCTTTTATCCAAATTCAAAAAGCCCTCAGCCAACAATTTGATTTGAAAAAGAATGCCAAGTAGCGAAATAAATGCGAAAGCATTGACATAAATTTGATTAGAAGTTCGATCGTCGCGGTAATCCGGTGTCCGCGCCAATAGTCTAGAAGGCTTTTGCCCTCCAAAAAAGAAAAAACATGAAGCGGAGCATTCGCATAGCGTGTTCATCAGTATTTAAAATCAGTGTCACATTTAGATAACCTTACTTCTTTTTTATCGGGAATCCAAAGGTCTGAGGTTCGATTCCTCATGGGGACACAGAATTTTAACTTTGTCCCACGCTCGTGACAAGACGAAAAACATCTTTCTCTATTTCTTTACCGAGCTCAAAACTTGCCATCTCTCTTATTCTTCTCTTCTATCATTTAGCAGTTAATGATTGCAAAATCCTGTATCTCTACTGCCCAAGCATCTTGCATCTCGACTGTCCCAGCAGACTGTTTCGTAATCTCTAGTTCTTTTACGTTTTAGTGAACTCCATGTGCTACTGAGTATCACCTGGGAATCCGTTAGATTCCTAAGGGTTTCACCCTTTCCATTGCACCGTTCATGCGTTCTTTGGCTTTTTACTTTTAACCCGAGCAGTGTTTTGATATCTTGAAATTACTGAGGGCCACCAAAAACGACTAGGGAGGGCGAGGTGGGTCCATGAAGAACCCAAAGTTATGTAATGCAAAGATGGAGATGGTAAATTTATCGTTTGTTATATTTGATTCATATTTTAGGGAGTGATTCGTCCTACATCAAAACCACGTCACTGGATCAAATTCCATTCCACGCTTTTTATTACGTGCCTATGGCACACAGGTGAGACAAGTCTTATGTTGGGTTTTCACGCGATGAATTCAAAATTTGACAAATATTTTTCAGCTTAAAAATGGCTTGCAGTATGGAAGTAACAGGGAAAGCATATCACATTTAAAGCGATTTTCCTAGATTTTCCCAAAATAAAGGGATTTAAAACCATATCCAGTTTCATATCTAAATTTTTGCGAATTTCCTCTGGTCGTATTTAATCGGATCCTTCGTCATATTGATAAACGTTACAGAAGATAGCCAAGTTTTAGTAAACTTGGGAACATGGGACTGAAGGCATTTTGAGTCGCATGGAAGTAATTATGAAGCTGCTTTCAAGACATTCATTGAAACTTACCCGGCGAGCCCCATATTAAGTGCACACCAAGCGGAAAGTGGATGATGCCAGTGAGAGCTGCGTAGTGTTTTTTTAAATTTCCTTGAATAAAATTACCCAAGGAAAATAAAACGTGGTCATGCTAACTTTTTAGTTTAATTTTGTTTTTCAGTCCTTGTAAGTTTGTTCACGTGGCTCATGAAACATCTACCAACTCTGACCTAACTGACCAGGTCGTCAGTTCCCCCCCGGAGAAAGGAAATCTCGCTCCTAGACCCTCCGTTATCCAATTCGTTGATGAAAACCAAAAGGTGGATACTCGGCCAAAGTGCCCTGTTTGCAACCACAAATTTTCCAGGCTCGGATCCTTACGGGTGAATTGTTTATTTGATTTTAGACTAACTTCAAACTTTGATTTAATTACCATCATTATCATTATTTGTTGTAACATTATCGTTTTCACTCGCCTTTTTAATTCCTCATCTTCGTTTCCGTCTATCCTCTCTTTTTCACTCTCATTTTCATAAGTAGTTGTTCTTTTACCATTTTCCATTTCGATCACAATCTGTTACTCTCACTGACGACCTTGACCGAATTAATTTTTTCTGTCAGGTTCACATGCGAATTCACTCAGGTGAAAAGCCCTATCGGTGTCAGTTTTGCCCCAAGGCCTTCGCTCAATCAGGAAACCTCTCCGCGCATGTGCGGATTCACACAGGAGACAAACCTTACAAGTGCAGTTACTGTGATAAACGTTTTACCCAGTCGTCCGCTCAAAAAAATCACGTGATGATGCACTTAAGGAGAATGGTAAGCTACCGTCAGGCTGGTGTCAACTACATGCTGAATTGAGATAAAGGCATTTGAATAACTTATGATAAGGTCGTTCACCATTTGCCGAAATTCTCATATACATTATGGGCGTAGCATTGGGGTAACCTGGGATGCCTGTGCAACAAAGTGGGTTTAATGGGAAAACGGTGTATGGAGGTTCCGTCTGAGATTTTTACGTTTCCTTTTTCCTCAAGTGATGACTGAGCGTTTTCTTTTCGTCCTAGAAAAATGACATGGAGACACGTAAACAACGGAGGCAAATGCCAAATTATCGGTGGATTCCCTATGTCTCTGAAAACATTTTTTCCAATTTGTAATATTTTGAATATAGAAAGTTCCCATGAAAACATGTTTCTTATCAGAATGATTGGAGTGATTTCATTTGACTGCTTCTATCAGAATCACCATCTGGTTTGCTTGTTAATTCAGATTGGTAAGTTTATTAGTTTTGAAAAAAAGTAGTCCTGATTTTCAATAAAGCAGAAGCCTGTAGAATTCTGATATTTGTTGCTTTTGAGGTCATTTTGCAGATGTTGTTTTTAAAACTCTGAGATGCATGAATGTGTGGAAATCATAATGCGTTTGAAAATTAGATTCAGGTTGTGGTGTGTCTGTTCAGTAAATGATCACAGATGACGCCAAGATTTGGTAAGAACAGAAAAGTGACACATAAGGCGCACTTTGTTATTTATGACGATAGAGAAAAATGCTGTCAATGGTGACGTCATCTATTTATCTGTTTACCAACACCTCGTAAGTAAGAACCAATCAGAATTGGCATATCATTCAGTGTAAGATCTAAACTCTTTCTAGTTATTTTTCGTGTAATTCGTATTCATTTATTTGGTTCTTTATATTTTTTCATACCTCCTCGTTAGTGTTTTTTGTTAGCGTTTTTCTTCGTAGGTTGCACCTTTTCGGTCGTTTCTCATACCGCACGTTATTTCGCAGTCCTCTTATATTTAGAGCCAGTTTCTTTTCCGAATAATCACTTTTCGAGTCAGTTTACCTCAAGCGTTGATATTCTCTTAGTTTACCTATAGTCGCGCTTGGCGCTGTTCTCTATTTTAGAGGGCAATTTTGCATTTATACTGGGTGTTATCAATGTACGTATTTTTTTTACGTTTCGCTTCGTTTGTATTCATTTGCTGTTTACAGTTTGTGTATCTTAAATAGTAAACTTAATTCTTAATTTTTTATAGTGTGAACCTGCCGCTACAGATCAGTATTAAGTAATCATAAAGAGATCAGAATAAATTAATGGAGATATTCTCTACGTAACAGGTGTTATAATAACATATAGACCGACAAAGCAGTCTAAAGTGAGATAATTTTATCTTTTAGATAATTGTAAATAAACGAGTTTAGAAACTTAGTATAACTCGTGGTTGTTCCAAGTTACCAAAAGGCTCATTAACGAGCTCCTATTCTTTTAATACTCATGAGCTTCAATCTCTATGAAAAGGAAGAGTTTTGGGTCAAATAAAAAGGCGTAATAAAAAGCATGTATTGCTGTGTATTGTGTGAAAGTATTAAAGATACAGCACTTCTGTGGGCCGAGAAAGTCCCCTCTGAGCATTGAGACGAGAATTTTTCCAATGAGCTAAGAACTCATTTAAGCTTGTGGTTCTTCCAAGTTACCAAAAGCTCATTAACGAATTTCTATTGTTTCAATATTCATGGCTTCTTATCTCTGTGAAAAGGAAAAGTTGTGAGATAATTTAAAGTGCGTTAGAAAGAGCGTGATGAGATGTGCATTGTGCAGGAGTGTCGAGGTTGCAGCTCTTTTATTGGGCGAGAAAATCCTCTCTGAATATTGAAACAATAGAATTTTGTTAATGAGTTTGAAAACTTGATTTTGCTCGTAGTTCATCCAAGTTACCAAAAGCTCATTAACGAATTTCTATTGTTTCAATATTCATGGCTTTTATCTCCGTGGAAAGTAGAAGTTCTGGGAAAATTTATAGGGCGTTAGAAAGAGCGTAATAAGATGTGCATTGTGCAGGAGTGTCGAGGTTGCAGCTCTTTCATTGGCCGAGAAAATCCTCACTGAATATTGAAACAATAGAATTTTGTTAATGAGTTTGAAAACTTGATTTTGCTAGTAGTTCTTCCAAGTTACCAAAAGCTCATTAACGAATTTCTATTGTTTCAATATTCATGGCTTTTTATCTCTGTGAAAAGGAGGAGTTCTGGGATAATTTTAAGTGCGTTAGAAAGAGCGTGATTAGATGTGCATTGTGCAGGAGTGTCGAGGTTGTAGCTCTTTCATTGGCCGAGAAAATCCTCTCTGAATATTGAAACAATAGAATTTTGTTAATGAGTTTGAAAACTTGATTTTGCTAGTAGTTCTTCCAAGTTACCAAAAGCTCATTAACGAATTTCTATTGTTTCAGTATTCATGGCTTTTTATCTCTGTGGAAAGGAGAAGTTGTGAGATAATTTAAAGTGCGTTAGAAAGAGCGTGATTAGATGTGCATTGTGCCGGAGTGTCGAGGTTGCAGCTCTTTCGTTAGTCGGGAAAATCCTCTCTGAATATTGAAACAAGAGAACTTTGTTAATGAGACTTAAAAACCCAGTTCAGCTTGTAGTTCCTCCAAGTTGCCAAAACCTCATTAACGAATTTCTATTGTTTGAATATTCATGGCTCTATATCTCTGTGAAAAGGAGGAGTTCTGAGATAATTTGAGGTGTGTTAGAAAGAACGTTATTTGATGTGCATTGTGCAGGAGCGTTGAGGTTGCAGCTGTTTTATTGAGCGAGAAAATCCTCTCTGAATATTAAAACAATAGAATTTTGTTAATGAGTTTGAAAACTTGATTTTGCTAATAGTTCTTCTAAGTTACCAAAAGCTCATTAACGAATTTCTATTGTTTCAATATTCATGGATTTTTATCTCCGTGGAAATGAGAAGTTCTGGGAAAATTTATAGGGCGTTAGAAACAGAGTGATTAGATGTGCATCTTGCAGGAGTGTCGAGGTTGCAGCTCTTTCATTGGCCGAGAAAATCCTCACTGAATATTGAAACAATAGAGTTTTGTTAATGAGTTTGAAAACTTGGTTTTGCTCGTAGTTCTTCCAAGTTACCAAAAGCTCATTAACGAATTTATATTGTTTCAATATTCATGGCTTTTTATCTCTGTGGAAAGGAAGAGTTGTGAGATAATTTAAAGTGCGTTAGAAAGAGCGTGATTAGATGTGCATTGTGCAGGAGTGTCGAGGTTGCAGCTCTTTCATTGGCCGAGAAAATCCTCTCTGAATATTGAAACAATAGAATTTTGTTAATGAGTTTGAAAACTTGATTTTGCTAGTAGTTCTTCCAATTTACCAAAAGCTCATTAACGATTTTCTATTGTTTCAATATTCATGGCTCTATATCTCTGTGAAAATGAGGAGTTCTGGGATAATTCAAAGTGTCCTAGAAAGAGCGTGATTAGATGTGCATTGTGCAGGAGTGTCGAGGTTCCAGCTCTTTCATTGGCTGAGAAATTCTTCTCTGAATATTGAAACAATATAATTTTGTTAATGAGTTTGAAAACTTGATTTTGCTAGTAGTTCTTCCAAGTTACCAAAAGCTCATTAACGAATTTCTATTGTTTCAATATTCATTACTCTATATCTCTGTGAAAAGGAGAAGTTCTGAGATAATTTAAAGTGTGTTAGAAAGAACGTTATTTGATGTGCATTGTGCAGGAGTGTCGAGGTTGCAGCTCTTTCATTGGTCGAGAAAATCCTCTCTGAATATTGAAACAATAGAATTTTGTTAATAAGTTTTAAAACTTGGTTTTGCTCGTAGTTCTTCCAATTTACAAAAAGCTCATTAACGAGTTTCTATTGTTTCAATATTCATGGCTTTTTATCTCCGTGCAAAGTAGAAGTTCTGGGAAAATTTATAGGGCGTTAGAAAGAGCGTGATTAGATGTGCATCTTGCAGGAGGGTCGAGGTTGCAGCTCTCTCATTGGCCGAGAAAATCCTCTCTGAATATTGAAACAATAGAACCTTGTTAATGAGACTTAAAACTCAGTTTGGCTTGTAGCTCCTCCAAGTTGCCAAAAGCTCATTAACGAATTTCTATTGTTTCAATATTCATTACTCTATATCTCTGTGAAAAGGAGAAGTTCTGAGATAATTTAAAGTGTGTTAGAAAGAACGTTATTTGATGTGCATTGTGCAGGAGTGTCGAGGTTGCAGCTCTATCATTGGTCGAGAAAATCCTCTCTGAATATTAAAACAACAGAATTTTGTTAATTATTTTTAATACTTGGTTTTGCTCGTAGTTCTTCCAAGTAACCAAAAGCTCATTAACGAGTTTCAATTGTTTCAATATTCATGGCTCTCTATCTCTGTGAAAAGAAAAAGTTCTGAGATAATTTAAAGTGCGTTAGAAAGAGCGTGATTAGATGTGCATTGTGCAGGAGTGTTGAGGTTGCAGCTCTTTCATTGGCCGAGAAAATCCTCTCTGAATATTGAAACAATAGAATTTTGTTAATAAGTTTTAAACCTTGGTTTTGCTCGTAGTTCTTCCAATTTACAAAAAGCTCATTAACGAATTTCTATTGTTTTAATATTCATGGCTTTTTATCTCTGTGAAAAGGAGGAGTTCTGAGATAATTTATAGGGCTTTAGAAAGAGAGTGATTAGATGTGCATTGTGCAGTAGTGTCGAGGTTGTAGCTCTTTCATTGGCCGAGAAAATTATCTCTGAATATTGAAACAATAGAATTTTGTTAATAAGTTTTAAAACCTGGTTTTGCTCGTAGTTCATCCAAGTCACCAAAAGCTCATTAACGAGTTTCTATTGTTTCAATATTCATGGCTCTTTATCTCTGTGAAAAGGAGGAGTTCTGAGATAATTTAAGGCGTGGTAGAAGGAACGTGATTAGATATGCATTGTGCAGGAGTGTTGAGGTTGTAGCTCTTTCATTGGCCGAGAAAATCCTCTCTGAATATTGAAACAATAGAACTTTTTTAATGAGTTTTAAAACCCAGTTTAACTTGTAGCTCCTTTAACTTGCCAA